GTTTCCAGATGAAACACAGGAAAGTGGATGAAAAGTAAACTTGATGACAAACAATAAACATAAACATTAAGATAAACAATATCAACTATTCGTGTGCATTGATTGTTTACAGTCCATTAAATTATGAGTTACAATTGAGTTGACCAGTTTATTGAATCAACTGACCTTTTCCAGTTTATTTTATGTTAAACTCGATTATTTTAAAAAGAGTCGAATAAATTTGTCCAAAGTTCAACTGTAATCAGTTTCATCCAAAACAACTCATTTTGAATAAAATTAATTGGCAAATGTTTTCATCTGCATATTTGATTTTTTTGTAAACATGTTAAGTTCAGGGTTCATCTTTCACTACTTTTGTTGTAATTCAATTAATCTAAACTTGACCTTCAAATGTCACAAGGTGCTTCATGCGATTTCAAATCATTGAATTCTGATATTCTTACCGCACTTTCAATGATTACTGCAAGAGAACTTTTCAGATTTTCATGAAAAATAAGATGAGCTGATTGGAAAGTTACATTAAGCAAATCGAGAACCTTTCTGAAAAGCAAATTGGAAGGTTTAGAGAAAGAACTTAGAAATTGGGAAAAAGAAAGAGACAGTTATTATATTTAGCTTATATCGATGGTAAGTGATACTTCGACGAAAGATCGATTTGGGAAAGAAACTCACGTTGGACTCAAGTCCGAACATGAGAGACAGAATAGATGAATTTTACTCTAAAGTCGAAACGAAAAAAATCAGAAATTAAATTTTCTCATTGCTCGAGTCTCTAGGCTCAACCTGGATTGATAGATTCATTGTCACACTTACATGCTATTCAGCCATTTCCAGGTGCTTTTTTCGTGTAATTTTTAGCATTTTGAACTTAATGGACATTTTGGACAGAATCGGTAATTTATTGAAAATTTTCATTATTAAACACTGGCTCTTACATCTGTTTGTTCAACAATCAACAGAAGTAGAAGGTCATTTTTATTAGTTAACCTCCAAGTTTCAGTCTAATTGTCATTTCTTCATGGGGTATAGATGATTAGGAAGCGTATGAAAAATCACTGATGTAATGAATGAACCATGATAAAGTAATTAATGATTTTTTTATGATGAAAATGATGAATGTGGCTTAACTCTGAATTTTCATAAAAAAGTGGGAAATATAATCCAATAATCTGAGGCGTTGATAGCTATGAGCTTTTAGTATTACGACTGAACTTAATCTTTCACTTTTTTATTATTAGATTTGCTTTTTTTTTATTTTCCCTTTTGTTTGCAACCTTTATGTTTATTGCGATATTGAACCACTTGATAATGAATTAGATTGAAACTATGGAGAAATATGAAAATATTCAGAAGCAACTTTTTTAAAGGTTTGAAGATTCGATATCAATTGAAACTCTTGAGTTTGAGCTATCATTAGTGTCTATTTGGAAGAAAAAAATTGATGGAAAACAAAAGGTTCCATTGTTGTCAAACTTATTGGAATAAACTAAAACTGAAGCAAGTGAACAAATTAATGAGTCAGTTTCAAGTATCAAGCCGGAATCGGGTGAAAGAAAGACATGGAAATGTAATGGTATTAATAATTCATCATGTTCAGAAAGGATGTTTGTATCAAGAATAATGAAAGTAACAAGTATTTGCATCTTAAAGCCAATGAATAGCTTGAAGCAAAATCTTTCATGCAAAGTAAATACTTTGTGCTCAACAACTTTCATTCAATACTCATTTCAAATGTGAAACTGTGCAACATCAATAAACAATGATAAATCTTGAATAATCTGGTAAAATAAGACATGATAAGACTATATTATTAATGCTTGTCAATTACGAAAAGAAGGCAATGCAAAACTGTTATAACTTATAGGGTTGACAGGGTTCAATTAAAGGTTTTTCAAATTGTTTTTTCGATTAGATCGCAACACAATTTAATCCCTGCATTAACTTGCATAGATCATTGCGCTTAACAAAAAGTAAGCCATCATATAAGTACCCTAGAGCTACTCAGTCAGTGTGAGTGAAGAATTTTGTTTTATTGAAAATTCTTCCGTATCGATTCTCAATGAAGCTTGATGGTGAATTGTTGCGAAAAGAAAATATTGGAAAATCCAATTTTATTGAAAATTCAAAAATTTTAATATCCACATCTCAAAGTCGCAAAATCTATCTATCAGATAATGGTGAAGCCATCAAAAGCACGAGATTAAAAAAAGTTAATATTAGCATTGATATACATTCTGAATAATTGTCTCAATGATGACAACTTTCAAAGACAGCATAATAAGTTGAACGTTTAAACGTTGAATTGTGAGCGAGTTTATTCACATGTTAATCGTGAGTGAATCGCGATAGTCGGTTTGCAGCTACGTTAGTAGCGAACGACTGGAGCCAGTCGGTTTAGGTTAAAACACTTTAATATATAACAATAGGTATTTACAATAGGTGAAGTGGAGAGTTAGGGTAAAGGAGATAGACTGGTTAATGTGCCATTGATGGCTACTCTATTTATATCTATGGGTTACGCCATCAATGGCTAATCTAGAAAGTACTAGAAGGTGAAACATAGGACGTAGTGGTTGCAACATTGCCTTGACTATCTAACCGACAAGTCAAGGTTATCTAACACTAATTTAAAAGCAAGAAATCTTGTGACAAGAGGCAAACTATTTTTTCACTATTCCTAGATAACTGCACCCGAAGTTTGGGCTGTATTGGCCAAACATCGTTTTAAAATTTTTATAAAATTACTGCATTTTGTATGCACCAATGTAAAATTGTAAACATAATAAATGTTTTATTTTACATATCCATATAATCTTGTTGTGAATAATGTTGTGAATAAAGCCTTTTCAAGCTTGATGCAAACTATTCCTTCTACCAGGGTATTAAGTAACCAATTTCAAAGCAGTTCCAGTTGATACAATTTAACGAGTATACTTTATATTTGATTAAATACTATTTAACTTCAACATCGTGTTTGAAAATATTTTATAGCACGAACCAGCTGAAAGAATAAACAACTCAACATCTAAATCTGTCGACAGAAATTTTTGCTATTCAAATATTCTTTATTCAGATAAATAGATGATTTGAATAAAAACAAATGTTCTAACTTCAAATGATCAAGGTTAATCAAAAGGCCATTACGAATGATTTCGATATTCAAATTGCATTCTTCAGTAAACTAACAAAATTCACAAGAAGAGTCACCAAGAAAATCTGTATTGAAATAACATCATTCAGAATTTGAATTTATGAATAGTTACCTGTTCAATCGAGCACCTGGATGATCTGCAATCTGGATGAATGTCAACTAATGCTTTTAAAATCTTTTTAATTGTAAAGCAAACAACGAAAAGTTCTGTCAACACGATGCTCATTTCGTTGCCAAAATATATTCTTTTGTAGTTTTTTAAAACTATATCATAAAGCACTTTGTGGATTCAGTTCAATGAAACAATTGGAGCAACAATGTAAACCTGTATTTACTTAATTTTGATAAACTTAACTCAATTGAGTCTAGTTGAAGTCAGCATTTTGCATGAATGAACCAGAAAATGCAATAATATTGTTTAACCTTAAAAAACATTGAACATGTTGACATGGATTGATTATCAACGGGCAAAGATAAGTGAAAAGTGATGAACCAAACAACAATTAAATCACTATGGAATTGACAAACAATTGTTCGACTCAATGTTGACGAACATAATTTAAACTTGAAGCTAATTAAATCATCACACTCATATGCTGTAAAACATTAACAACTATCGATTTTCATTTTTTATCATTTTACTTGCGCTAAAATTATCAGGCAATTTTCGGAGCTTCTCAGTTGGAGTTGAATTTCAAAAATTTCATTCAATAACAGTCGATTGTAACGATTGATGGTTTGAACATTTTTTCAGTTCATTCCATTTCATATAATATTAAAGCTTTTTTCATGACCTAAGCTGCAAGTTGAAACTAAATTAACTAACTTGTTCCATTCAATTGAACAGTGATAATGCCTTTACAAATGATGAAACAAAATTGAAATGGGCAACAATTGAATTCAATTGAAGTGTTAAATTTGAACCCTTTAATTGAATTCGTGGAATAATTGATTATCTGTAAACTTAATACAACTTTATACTTTAGTTGTACTGATAATGAAACAAAAATAAACGTTTATTTTGCTGTTCATTTGTTCATCCATTTCATTCAAATTAATCAATTCATTTGATTCATCATGCAGTAAGATGCACCAATGTTTTGGTTAAATTCAACCAACTTCATGGTGGTTCTGAAAATCATTTATTAATTTACATTTTTAGCATTTTTTTAATTCGGAATCTTCAAATTCAATTTAACCAAAGACATTTGTTTAAATGTTTGTTTGGATCTGCAGATTTGTAATTAAATCTGTTTGCTAATTAAGATGCTTCAAAATTAGCAAATCACTATTCAAGTGTTCAGATTAAATGCTTTGAAGGAAAAGGCTCAAAATAATCAGATGAATTCAGTGAAACGGATTAAATTCCTAATCAGCTTAATACTTATAAACCCACTCAGTTGAACACTTTATGCATTCAAAATTGTTTTTAAATAATGAATAATATCAAACTTGAATATCAATTGAACAAGGAAAAGATAAATCTTGATTTCGATCAATTTGGATTTACATTAATTTTTGAAAATTTACACAAAATTTGAACTTCTAAAGATATTTATTAACAAATTTCTCATGAATTGTTACATCAAAACTAACATTTTTCAAGTTTAAAGCTCGCATCAATGTTGTGTTTGAATGACGGTATCAGTCGTAATCATTCAAAGTGAAATAATCAAAAATGTCCAGCCAATAATGACAATTCTAAACAAGATTAATTCGAGTTTTACTTTGACAATTTCATGTTAATAGTGTCAATCAAAAGATAATCCAGATTGAAAGTCGATTTGCGATTGATGAAGTTCGCACTTAATTGAAAGACTTTTTATTTGTTTCAACGGTTTCTACTTACCATTGAGCCTTCATCGATTGAGTCAATGCTTAAAACCCAGACATGGAAACGCACAACAGTTGGTTTACCTGGAAAAGACAAAAGAAAATGTCATTCAAGTGATTGTCTAATCAAAATAGATATAAAGATATTCCCTTCCTAACAACGGATCAACAATTTTTGATTGTCATCAAAAGTAAAGAAATTGTTAAATCTATTACTCATGTCGCAATGCTACTCAATTTGATTGTCATTGAAACTCTTGATTATCAACTTTTGTTAGTTTATTAGCAGTTGATTATTAGTTGATTATTAGTTGATTGTATTGGAAATGTTTCTACTTAAATAATTCATTTGATTGGACATCAAAGGATAAGAGGAAGCAAAAAACAGTTCATTAATAATACTTTTAGCCTGTCAATTGTGAGGTTAATTTTTGGTTAGGATTGTTGGTCAAGTCTCGAGAGTTTTGTAATGGCCAATAAAATGATTAGTATTGTCCATTTTCTTGGCTATCTATTCATGTCACAGTTGATCATTAACTATTAAATACTAACTTCGACTCAAAACATTAATCCAATTTTAATAAACATTGGAACCTTAAAATGATGAATCAAATGAATGAAAAGTAGCATATAAAGGTCCTGTTCTGGACCAAACTTGAGTGCCGGTTATGGACCAAACATAGATTACATAAGACTAAGTTTATCTCCATCTTGCTAAAGATGGACTAAAGCAGAAACGACTCGATCAAAGCAAAAAATAAGGTTATCCTTGAAAAACTAGAGATATTTGTGTCTTAACGACAAAGATAAATTTTCACAGAAAGTTACCTGAATAACGCAATTCAATTAATTGAATGCTTGGACCTTTACAAGGGCTTGTTTATAAACAACTAAACAGATTATTTTATTATAGTTTATCAATAGTGAGTTGCTTTTAATGATTCTCATTCTTAACAATTTTTTTGTCTTTTCTGTGAATCTTCTTGATAGTCATTGATTATTCTTGATTTACCCTGATATTCTAATATACTTATCACTTGTTTGCTTTGTTCAAATGCATCCCGTTGAAGTTTCGCTTTTTGTTGAGGAGTATCGATGAGTCGATGTGATCTTTTGTGATTATAACGGTTCAAGGTTTGAAACAGCATGCAATATTCAAAGCTTGTTTTTTATTAATTGATTAATTGATCAAAAACGCAGAAAATTTTTCACGGTTGTTTTTATTATAAATTTTATACACAAATGTCTAGCATTTCCTCACTCATAACAGCAATTTTCCTTAATCTGGGCTAATATCAAGTAGCCGCTGATGAATGTTGTTGATCAATTCTTTCGGTGGCCCTTGAATTAGTTCAACTTTGGGATTTTCTTCCAATAAATTACTGAGCTCATTAGGTGAAAGAGTTAAACCTACAGTTTCGGTCATAGGGAAATTCATTTAAACCTATGAGTCGGTATTCGAATCTAAATATTCGCAAAACTAAATTCTCTAAACAAGAGCAAAGACCTTTTGACAAGATGGAGTCACCAATATAAGATAACCTAGAGCATTTAAACTGGATTAAACTAATCTAATCCGAATTAAAACACCTTATCGAAATTAAAAAATGTTAAACACAGAAAAATCTTCATTGACATTTAAACTAGATAAAAGTATGCCGAACCGACCCTTAAACAAAAATCATCTCAATCATTTGTCTTTGATTTCCGATAATTAATTGCAATTCATTAATTTCATTTTATTCACATTGAAAGCTATCATTTTTGCTGTCAACCAAATGGTGATGGAAAAGGCAAAACAAAAGATTTGCTCGCTCAATTGTTTGCCCATTATTAAGAGTCAGGATAACAATTGAAGTTATTGTTTTATCAAATTTCAGTTTGGCTCATTTTTGTTTGGTCAAATTATCAGTTTAATGGTAAAGATTACAGTGAAATTAAAGTGAAAACCTGAACAAGTGATCATTAAAGCTACAAAAATGCAACTAAATTACTTTTCGCCTTAATTCTTATTTTACCAAGTTGGTTCTTTCCCTGAAATCAATACACTAATGTACTACTTTTATGGGATTCTTGATTTTTTAAGCGATCAGTTCTGTTTTTAGCTCAGATAATTTGGCAACATTTATAAATCCCAGTTAAAGCTGAGTATTCTGACCATTGAAAGCCAATAACTTGTGATGAAATGTTAAATTGTTTGAACAAAAAAATGAAACAAAAAATGAAGAAAAGTTGAAATCCATTTTCACTACAAAAATAAAATTTTGTTTCATTTCCAGATTCCTTATAACCAGCAATTTATTCATTATTTGCAAGTTATTTGACATTAAATGAATATTTTTGATTATCAAGGTTAACCAAAGTATATAAATATCATTTATTTGTGTTAACAAAATCAATAAATAACAATGTACTTTGCGTGTAATTGAGTATCTGATTGTTTGCTTTACCCTCTTCATCTTTACTCATCAACTTAAACTAAAAACAATTTGGTTGTCCTTTTTATGGTCAAATATTATTGTTGTTGACCAATAAGTTGATTAAATTCCATCTCTAAATATGTATACTTTGATTACAAGGCTTCTGTCCTTGCAACTTATATACAAAATGTTACCAATCCAAGTTCATCAATATCTTTTGTCATTCAACCTCTTTGACCTAATATATCAAAATATTGTCCTTCACTGTGAAAGCTATGAATAAAACAATGGACAGTCAATGTTAATGCTAATGGCGATTCAGTCAAACATAAAAGATTGCCTTTTCTTCTTCCAAGGATTCCCTGTTTCTAATCAACATTTCAATTGAAATTACAATGAAATTATAAACGAAATGCAAGTTTTTCTCAATCATTTCAATTTGAAGAAACAATTTTGACTTTTGAATCAATATTCATTTCACTTGACTTGACTTTAATAAAAAGGGTTTTCAGGGAAAAGCAATAAGCGTCAAAAGATGAAAACTTGAATCCAATTGAATCAGTTGATTGTTTCAATCGGTTGGACTTTTCATTATTACTTTTGAAAATCATCTTTGAGAAAATTCAGAAATGACAAAAGAAAGCAAAATTTCATGTCATTACAACCATTGACACTTTGATTTTGTTGAGCAAGAAAAAAGGTTTCTGTTTAAGCTGACCGAATGGGATTTGTTGAGCAACAATTGAACAAACAAATGACAATCAAAGCTGTGATTAAACTGTGATCATTTGATCAGAGTTGAATAATCTGGATAAAATGAAAAAATGAAATTGTTTCCATTTAAAGGCATTAACTGTGAAAATGGCATTACAGCTTGTTCCAGTGAAAACGGACTCTTGATTGTCAGATGTTAGGGGAAACCAATTTAATGGTGTAAAGCAAAGGGATTAAATTATTGTCACAATCAGGTTAAATCTTGAAATGTAATTGATTTAACAAACACTTACAGTAAAGTGTACAACTTGATAATCCGTTGTGTTTAACCATTAATAATTGTTATGTTGTTGTTGATATACAAAATGATTCCTCTAAGTCAATGTTTTACTTGTAATGGGCAACATTTTTGCCTCTCAACCTTTCAAGTTGAACAATCAGGAAGAAATAAAGATTAAAGATTTAAATGATTAATGATTCCATAAAATATGATCATTATTATTGTTACATTGCAATTAATAATTAGAGTTGCTCTTCATCTTTTGCTTTGTCATTTGATAACATCAATTGTGGCTTTATTGTTCTCATTTAAGGTTTTATGTAATTTTTGTGTCTCTTTTGGTTGATGACAATTTTTCAATTCTCCCAAAATTTGTATCAAGAGTGATGAAGATGAAGATGATAAACTGGGAGAAACAGGGAAAATTATCAGTTGCAGGTTTCCATTTATTTCATTCTGAACAATGCAATTACTCTTTGCCTTGTCTTCATCATCTTTTGATTTGTGACTTTTTCACATGAAAAGTCATCAAAGTGCCATTCAGTTACTCATTTCATTTTCATCACCATCTTTATCATCATTACTTTACGAAGTTTTCAGCCTTTCTGTAAATAATGAAAAGAAATTTTCACCAGGATTTTAGAATGGAACTTTTATTTTAGACACAATTTTTGATTCGATTTTACATCAGATTCTCTTTGAGATTTTACGAAAGATTTTTTTCTTTCAGATTTTTTCAATTTTCTTCATAATCTGACTGTTGATTTACATTGAAAGCTAACAACGAAAATATTTGTCTGTGAAAATTCGAACGAATTCCGTACAGAATTCAAAATGTTTACTAGAAATTGTATTTTCTCTGAGAAGGAATTTTCAGCAGAATTTTAAACAAAATTTTTGCTTGATTTCTGATTTCGATTCAGATTTTCTTTGTGTTTACAAAAGATTTTCATTTCCATTCAGATATTTTCAGATTAACTTTCAATTCTGATTTTTATGTTTATTTGCATTTAGCTAAAAGTTCTGTTTTGAATTCGTTCTAATTTCAATCAGAATTCCAAATATTTTTGAGAAATTGTATTTTCTTCGTTCAGAATTTTTGGGTTCGTTTAAATAAAATTTTCGCTAAAATTTCACAGAATTTGCATGTTATTTTTAGGTATTCTTCATTGAATTTGAAGAAGTGAGAGTTTGAATGAAATCTGTTATTCGAACTTTGACCTAAATTCCATCATAAATGCTCAGAATTTTTATTCTTTGAATGAAAATTTCGATGAGATTTTACCATATTTTATCATCAACATTTTCATCAGAATATTCAATTTATCATAATTTCTATGAAAACTCTGTTTTTATCATCAACATAACCAGTCATCATTTTGAATGAACTTTCAAGATCTGTTTTGTTTTATCTAATATTGTTGACTCCAAGTTTGAGTTGTTTACAGATTTGATTAAGTCTAGCAAATTAAAAAATGATTCGTAGGATAAGTTAATCAAATTAGCCTTTGTAACAATCAGTAATCAAGCGCATTTATTTTAATCATCAGTTTATTAGCAAGAACAAAAGGTTAAACAGAGTTGAACAAGAAAAAAAAGATTCACACTTTTTACTGAAAAAAAAGGATAACCCAAATGTTTAGTCGCAACAAAATGGGTAAACAAGCGAACCATTTTTTTGGTTTGTTTTTTTCATGTTTTGTCTTGTAACATATTTAACTTAACCAGAAATGCTGTTTCTTTAAATAATCAGTTATTCATGGTTAATTTTAATGTAAACTGTTCAGTGTTGGGTAAATTGAATGCTTCAAAAGTCAAAGTAAACACCATTGAATCCACCAAAAGTCTGATGATTCAGTTTTTTGTGTTTGTTGAAAGCAATTTTATGGTTAAACCACTTCCATTGTTATTAACATATTTTATTCCTCTTTTATATTTACACTGATAATTTACCACACAATCAACTAATAGTCAATTTACAATAAACTAGCTACAAACAATTGTAATCATTTTTACCCTTTAAAAGATCAATCAAAACATTGACTTACCGTTTTCCTTCGGCGGCTGTAAATTATCATATTGAGGTGGTAATATGTTTTTCATGTTTAATAGTTTACTTCCACTTTGAGGGAAAGAAAGTTGAACAATTTACTGATTATGACAATTTGGGTAAATTATTGATGATAATTTGGTGATACTTACTCAACCTCTTTTGCATAAATTAAGGGTAACATTTGAGTTGAAAGAAATTGTAAAATGTAAATGATTTTGACAAAATAAACTTGACTTTTAGGCCTGTTTAATTGTTCAGTCCAATCGTAAAACATTTTCACAATTTAGTCAGCTAACAATCAGAGTTGATGAGCAACGGATGCAATCAATACACATTGCAAAGTGATGAACAAATTTCCAGCTTTAATGATTGAACACTTTTAAAACACTATTAAACACAGTTAATCACAATTTAATGGGTTAAGTAGGATCAACAAATATCCAAATTGGTTAAATTTTAAACACAATAACCGCAATAATCAAATTTTAAAAGCAAATAGAGACAAGGAAAAGGTAAACAAATGAGAGTTTTCATTTTCTCACTTTTGTTTTGTTGCTTTTTGAGGAGTAAATTTAAACCATTAAACAAGATGATTAGTTGATTGTTAGATTAAAGATGAAAATGATTTAATTGTTGTAGAAGGTAAAATGATGATTGATTAACTATGAAGGGTGAACACAGAAAAATATAATCTAGTTGAACAAATTATCCAAGATAATGTTACCTTCAAATTGAACCCTCTCCTGTTCAACTTGCCTCTATCAATACCTGTTACGCTAAAGACGATTTTTTATCATCACCATAATCATCATCTTCTTCATCCTCATCATTTTCATCATTCCATGAACATGCTCTATCAATTCACCAAAGATTCCAACATAGGCCTGTAAGTCTAATGTTTTTTATCATCTCATTCAACTGGAAATACTTTTCTCATAACAATATACATTTATGTGTATATTTGTGGCAACATTTACCTAATATTTTTACCTCAATCTTCATCTTTCTTACTTCTGATCAGACCACAACTGAATTGTATTTATCAATTGTAATAAAATAAACATTTATTCAAATAAGTGGTTACTTTTTTGGGCTAATCGTAATTTGGCTTTTGTATTTGCTGCATTCATTCCTTGATACATTGTTTGTTGCCATTTATGTTAATCATTTACCAGCAATGCTAAATCAATTGGGTATTTCCTAGTTTAACCAGTTTCTGGTTAACAATCTTTGGTACCACAATTTATTCGGGTAACAATATATTTGATCAGTTTAAACGATTACTTTATTTAGGCTTCTCCTTATTAAAATCTGGTTCTTGCTTGGTTGATTATGTGCTTGTATTACCTGGTAAAATATTGTACCTACAATACAATACAATGTTTTATTGGTACATTAATAGAGAATCGTAATTTGATATTAATAAATGAAAGGCTTTTTTTTCTTCATCTTCATCAATTGTAGTATATTAATCAATATATTTTCATTGAAGTAATTTTATCTTATTGTGATCAATGGTTAAGTTTACTAGATGAACATTAGTTTTAGTGTGATAAGTTGATTATTGTTAACTAAATGTGAATTCAGTTTTCATTATTGCGCCAGATTGGGTTGATAAATGGATTTTGGGTCTTTTTGGTAAACAAATTTAATTGAAGCAAAATGTCATTTTTACCATTCAAAGGGAATAACAATTGAATCATTATTATTATTATAGTTATTATTATTTACATTAACTTTTGTCTGTAAAAATATTAAATTTTTTTCTATCTTTAAACTTTCTTTTCATCTCATATCTTTTATGAAGATTCAAGCATTCAGTATTATTGGCATTTCTTGTTTCCATCCTCTTTTTTAGTAAATGATTTTCAAGGCAAAACGAAAACAAATGACGAGATATGTGGTGAGAGAAATAACAATCTAATCGTATTCTTTGGATGTACTGTGAGAAAGACGAGTGATGATTTTTTCCATGTTAATGGTATATACAGAATGAGAAGGTAAAGCTGATTTGTTTAGTCTAAGGGCATGAAACACTTGCCATAATGTAATTAAGCCTCGTTCCCGGGGAGATTCATAGTCATTGGGTAATTTAGAGCAAGCTATTTGAAAGATAGCATCATGTTCGGCTGTTTCATTTGTAGGTAGAACGGCTGGCATATGTTCACCAGAGTCAGTCACATAGGATGAGTGAATATCTTGAGGATATTTACAAAGTGAGTGTGAATTTTTAAGATAAGGATTGACCATTGGAGCACCAACTGCATATCTGACTTGTCCTTTATCATAACTGCGAAAAGCAGACTTGAATGTTAACACGTACATGAGAATATTTTTAATAAAATCTCTTAAAGCTAAATTAAGTAGAAGAACTGCATCATTGCTGAGATTATCCAATCCCGTTTCCCATACAATAACGAGCATCCGTAGATTAGCCATGAAATGGTCAGGCAAGGATCCTTCAGATAAACTGAAAACAACTTTAGGTAAAACTTCACGTCTTTCAGCTTCATGTAGCCGAGATTTTTTGGTTGGAATAGGACTATATAATGCAGGATCAATAGGAAGAAACCGTTTTTCATAGGTGATTTTATAGTTGGGCCGAGGCTTTTTTAATGAACGATTTTTAGTACTTTTGTCATTCTCATCCAATTTAGGTTTGCGATCTATAAGAAAACGAAAGGAAAAATTTAATTAAACAAAACGTCCTCCATCATTAGTCTTAAATAATAGCAAACCTTGTTGATTATCAAGAGATGATAAATCTTGACATCGGCTAAATAGAGCTAAAAGGAATGCATTATGTTTTGACACATTTGAATTTGTAAAAAGTTTTCGAGCTTCAAAGTCAAACTCTTCTTTACTCAAATGATTTCGAAACCAGCTTCGTAACAGGCTTAGATAACTAGAAGAAGAAAAAAAGATAAAAAGATTGGAATTAATAATAAATAATCGTAAACAGAACAATTTCGTTATACATTTCAATCTAAAAGATCACAAATTACCATTTGAAATTGGAACCCAGACAATCAAATAGATTTTGCTTAGCCAGGCAAAGTTCATCCATCTTGGAGATGAGTAGAACAGATAAAGACGATCCTTATAATCCCTATGTTAAATTATTTGTAGTCGAATCAAGGATGATTAATTAATTAATGGATTTTTCATAGACACTAGAATGGCTTAACACACACATTGCTCTATTATGTTTACATATTAGTTTAGAAATTGAATCACTAGATGGTCGGTGGTCGACTAGTGCCATCTGTTGATTATAAATAAACCTTCAAATAATATTGGAGGGAAATTAAGCGGTTCAAGATGGCGCCAGTTTAAACTTCAATGTTTTGTTTTTCACAACTGGTTCATTGTTTATCTTTTTTTATCAATTAATTGCAATTGAAGCTTTTAATTCTGATTTCTTTTTTTTACAACTTGACCTTTTAATGTGTGATTTAATCGTATCGACTTTGGCTTGAACTAAAAGGAATACATCGAAAGACATCACACTCAGCTCAATGGAAATAATTGACGTTGGTGAACCAGAGAAAAAGCGAAAGCCACCTTCAGCGAAGGAACTATTCATAAACCATTATTTAGCTAAACAACTAATTAAGTGTTTAAGATGGCAGGAGATGTTGAAAGAATCTGAAAAATCTTTTGTTGTCAAAGATGGTGCAAGAAAAGCGAAAAGAGCTAAATTTGATGATAGTGACAGCAGGAAAAGTGATGGTGGTGATGCATCTGCTGTTGCCGTCGATTCTAATACCATTGCCGCCGATACACATGCCATTGCCATTCCAGATTGGAGATCTCAAGGAGCTTTAACCCAGGACGAGAAAGCAAATCTTCATAGTGATTTGAAATGTTTTATGAAAGATTTATCTGCTATCGATAATGTGTTGAATGAATTTGTCAAAGGAAAAACGGACGAAGTTGTCACATGAGTTTTTATAGTCGTTCGTTTTGGTGCATTTTTTGCTACAAATGAACAAATTATAACTATTTTATCATTATATAATTACTTCTTTACCCTATTTGACATCATCAATATTTGATGATCAATATTCATGTGAATTTGTACTTGAAACAAAATAATTTACAGTCAACAGAATAAATAAAATGACTTTTTCAATGCATAAAACTTGCTATGAATGATGAAATAAATACTCAAATTACTCGCGATACTTTTGTGAATTGATTGATTGAAAGCAAATTTACGGGTAAATAAACATTTTATTTGGTTACAAGTTTGTCAAGAAAAAAACCTAAAACATTAACGTAGTAAGATTAGTTATTAGGTAAATTTTTGAGTAATAAATTCATAAAAAGAGCAGATTTGATTTCACTGATCAGAACTTTTATTTTCTTGACCAGTTGCAGAATGATTTTCGACTTCGCCATTTAAAACTTTGATTACTTGTTGCTTTAGTAGTCGAGTTACTGGATAAGGTTCAGGTATATTCAATTTATCAAGAGCCATGATTGTCGGCTCACTGTTGGATTCGTCATTTGCCTGGCCATATTTGATTGTAATTAAATTAGGCAATCTCCTTCTGCTTGTTATTTGCACTATCATTTCCAGGGGTCTTTTTGCAACGATTTTACCAAACCCTTTATTTTGTGGTATTGCACGTACTATGTATAAATGCGTCTCAGTCAAAATTAGATAACTGTCAAATAATGAAAAATAAATTTTTAGTCAGGTAATTTTGAAATAGTCGAGATTAAATAAAATAATGTAGCTGCAACGTCATCCTATTTCATTTGATTTATTTTTTTAATTACCTTGGATATCTTTTGATTTCGTCAGTTATTTCTTCACATTTAAAACAGCTCAAGGCGTTATTCGCTTTACACCATTCCTCTACATCGAATTCAAAATCTTCTGGTTCATTCGAAACTAATCCATCTAAAGATAGAAAAATATTTATCAATTAGATATCTGAAATAAACTTATAAATTGATAATGAGCTCACCTCCGTTATCAACATCGAAAAGACTGAATATATTCGAGCCTCCAGTATATCTCCTTCCGAGTCGATCAGTAGCACTAACATGCCTTTCATCACCAGCACTTGGATTAATTATATAGTCAACTAACTTTTCCTTAACACCAACAGCTCTGTTTTTCATCACTGAAGCCATTCTATCGAAGATAGAAGTGTTGGAAGCATTTTCACCATCTATTGCACCAAGAAGCGAAGAGTTACTAGATGATAGGCTTCTTGATCCCATTGGGGAATTGCCAATAAAACTTTGAGGGTTGCGACACGATAAACAAAGTTTCTTGTTATGATCAGTAAAATATTTATCCAAGCAATTATTCCGCAAAACAAAATGGTGGAGAGCTGCATAGCCGCCAAAAGCTAGACTGACATAAAGATGGTGTTTTTGTAAAAAAGATGCAACAACCATATGAACATAACGATCTTCTTCATCACGACCACTTCCCATAAAACATAAATGTTTACCACCAGCTAGCGATCCTGCTAGGATGGCTTGTTTTTGTGCTGCTAATAGAGCTTGTACTGCAGTATTAAAAGCTGAAGGTTCTTGAAGCATCTAAAAAAATGTGAAATAATATAATGATTTATATAGATTCAAGTAGATTTATCAAGAAAAAAAGAATATGTTGACGTGTTAACGTACCAAACTACAATCAAGATGAAAAGCAGTTGATAAGTGTCCGTTATTATATTGCTCTGCCGGTCGGCAATCTACGATGAAAAATCTAACACCAGAATTGTTAGACGAGGGTAAAAGATGTGATACAGGAATAGGTAAACACAAAGCCTGTGCGATATCAGTCAATTCCATTGAAAATTCAATTCCTGAGTCATAATTGAAAATTAATTTGTGCAGCTCCTACAAAACGATACAAGTGAGTGATATAACAATCATAAAAATCAAATCCTTGAAAAATGGTAAATAACTTGGCTAATAAAATTTTTAAGAGAAGTATGTAAAACTTACACTGATGCATCTAGGTGTTTGAGACACGTAATGTGTTTCTACAAGATAAAAGAGATCTGGGATATCGTCTATTTCGAGGGCACTTGGCACAGAGTTCAGTGTCTTGATGATTGCCTCCTTTGATTGATCTTTCATGCTCATTATCTGTTCCCTGTCAATAAAAGATGAAAGTTAATGAACATTAAAATGTTTATGAAAAATAAATAAACATGGATAATAATTCGGAATATTGTGTTGACTTACTTTGCATTGACTAGCATAACTAATGATAAAAAAAAGATGAGGAATGGATTAGAAGCTTGTAAATAAGCATCCCATAAGGTTAGAAGAGCTTTTATATTGACATGGGCAGCGAATAAACTTCGGAACTGGAAGAATATAAAAAACATTAGTATTAATGATCAAATAGAGTTAAACCATTTAGAGACATACCCATGAGAGAGCATATGAATCTGGATTGATTTTCTTGGTGTCTAAAAACGAGCACAGCTCGGGATCATGGTAAAATAATAATAATCTCAGGAGATGGAATGGTTGGTCATTAATAGAATGTGATTCTTCCGAATTCTTGGGATAGGTAAAAATATTTGGAATGTACTTTTTGTGTATAATCTCGAAAAAATTGTATAAATCATCTCGGCCAATCTTTAAAGTCAGTAAAGGTTCAATCACTTCAAGCCACCCGTTGTCAGTGAAATATTTGTATCCATACGTTTCAGCATAAGTTGTTAACACGGTCTCCAAGTCGCTAGTAATTGCAAGTCTATCATCCTCTGGATTACCCAATGCTTCAACCAGTTTAACACAATCTTCCCTTATCTCAGACTGTTCTTCAAGTCCGAAAAATTCTTTCAAATTTGGCTTGGTATCTTTTATTCCAAGATGGAGCTATGGCAGAAAAATAGGCAAGTACACCGATTAGATACAATAAATGATGGAAAGGAAAATTACAAAGAAATAAAAAAAGAATATTATCATGATTTAATTAGAGCTAATTTTGATACAAGCTTTGTATTTGTAAAATAGGCAAACTGCTGTTCAATACTACTATAATGAATGGCAACTTACCTTCCAGATTTGAGCTCGTGTCTCGTCATTTATATTTGATTCCATTTGACTATGGTGGTAAGAATATTTGATTTGACTTTATCCTCAATTGGTCATGATAAAACTGAGTGTATAAAAAAGTTGATATAATAAATTTCAGAATTAAAATTTAACTGACGATTATTTACAACAAGACAAAATCATCGACATCCAACAGCAGCTAAAGGTGAGCTCATCTCATCCTCAAAAGAAGAGAAATGTGATGAAAAAACTAACATACAGACAAACAAATGATATAAACATAAAAATATAAACAAATGTCTATTTCAACAGAAAATTGAGTGAAAATAACAACAATTGGTTTTAATCATCATAATTTATTGCAATAATTTATTAATAACTTGGAGCAAAAAACACGTTCAATAAAGTGGTTTTAACCCCAGGCCTTTTACCCAGGTACAAAGATCATTTGATAATGTGCAAGTAAACAAATTCAATTCCTCATGAATAAAAGTACGCATTACGATTATCCAAGAATATCTCGAATAAGGAAAGATGATTTTGAAGGTGAAGTCGTTTTACTCGGATGATGACCGGGTCGATCAATTAAGGGAGTTGCAACAGTTGTGAGAGATCGTCCGCAAGTAATTTTGGTTGGTCTATGTTTACCATAAGATTGCCGTAAAATGCGATTAATAGATGAGATACTAGGTAATGATTCTTTGGAGCAGATTCCATCTTGAAGTAATTTATCTCGTATTTCCCAGGCAAACAAGGAATTATTTGAGTCTTTGTATTCTTTTATCTTTCTTTTGACCAACGGAGTGGACACACGGGGTTTACTTCCACCTGAATAGCGCAAATGAGAAATGAAAAACAAAACAAAAAAGTTAGTAAAGTAAATAAAAGTAAATTTGCCATTGATTTACTTACCAATGGCACCAGGCATGATGGATCCAGTTTCTGCGAATTTGGCCAGTATTTTGGACACACAGCCATGAGAAACTAACAACTGTCGCGATATATCACAAGGACGATAGCCACAAACAGCTAGCTCCAAAATTCTGAGTCTTATGTGGAAAGGCAAAGGTTTACCGTTGGAAAATGTTCCACCAAGTTGATTGATTCCATTGGTTGAGGCCAATGATGATGAGAACAAATTAGTTGTTGCCGTTGGTGAGAACGATGAAGAGGAAGAGGAAGAGGGTGAAGAGGAAGAGGTCGATGCATGGGCAGTTTGAGGTGCATTAAATAGGAATGAAAAGGCTGGCAGTGAAGTTACAAAAGGAGCCAAGTTGATCAATGTTTTGAGTCCATCGTCTTTTCTCAAATCTTCCATCTTGGCTGAAGCTGGTATCATATGATTAATAATACCAATATTGAATTATTTGAATGGGACTCGTAAACTAATAAATAGTAGATAAACTTTCCGTTGGCTGATAAATTGATATAAATAAAAACAAATTGCTGGACCAAAACAACTTAGAGGTGAGAAAAGTTTAATCGGTAAACTTTGAAAATACCAAAGACGAATGGAAACAATTGTTGAAATTAAAAATGTGAAAATGTTTGGAGCAAAAGGCAAATTATAATTACACAATCAACAGTTTAACACGTTACAGCTAATTTTGTTTGATTCTCGGTGAGTTATCCTCTAAATTGTAGGGAATAAAATTTTCTCAAGATTTGATATTTTCTCATGATTAACCCGCTCATGAACAATGATTAAACTAAAGGGCAAATCTAATTCCCAAGAGGTTCATTCGTACTCACTCAAAATCGAAGTGTCTCTCTGTGTGTTGGTTTGACGTGTTAGTTAGTTCATGTATATTCGGTGTCATCCCTGTCTTTCCCTTTTATCATCTTCATCATCACTATCATCATCATTCTTAAGCCTTGACTCCTATGGATGAGAATCAGACCAGATGACAAAAGGTGATCACAATTGGAGCAATTGAGATGGCCATAGAAATGCATTGATATAACCAAGCAAATCAATTGATATATCATCGGAAACTGTTATTACCATTTTTATTTCCTGATTTAACGGCCTTAACCCTCAACGTAATAACTTTTACCCTTACTATTGAACAACAATCAAAAGACAATTTGAATCAAAAGAAAACCTAAACTCATCTTAAACCTTCGCCTTCTTCTGGTTGATCTTTAATTCTTTCCTTATCATCACCGTCTTAACCTTATTTGTATTTATTTGTATTACCATTGGACTCATCATTGGTGTCATCCGAAAAGGCTGTTTATCAATATCATCATTAAATCGCATCTTGTATAATGTAATTGTTGATTCGTAAACTTGATTCACTTCCTTCAACACTGCATTTAACTCTCATCCTTTTATTGTTAGAGGATTATACAATTTATTGTTATCATTGCTTCTTATTTTGCTTTTCCTTTAGTTTCAGGTCCTTGTTGGTTTTTTGTTGTTTTACACTGACCAATGGCTAGTAATGAACAGTAAGCTGAGAAATAAAATAATGCCGTTAATAACCTGAAAAGATTTGTTAGATTTCAAACCATCAAAGTGATTTGATCATAACAACAGGTTAACAATTGATTTCTCTTCTCATTTAAAACTGAAAGTTTGTACATTTAAGTTAAAATAACATAAACAAGCTTTAGGTTATAAAAAACAAGAAACAAAAATTTAAAAATCAAGATAATTGGATTGACAGATCATCTTTATGATTAATTCATTTTCCATAATCAATTTGAATTCTAGTTTCGATTGAAGGGGAAATTGATATTATGATCGAAGTTGAATTTACAATAAATGATGGGAAACATGGAAAAGAGTTAAAAAATGGAGTGATTAGGCAGATGATGCCTAAAAAGTTCATCTTAAACATGTGAAAGATTAAATTCACTGAAATGTTGAGTTTAAATGGAATCTTCAGTAAACCGGTCAATTCTGTTTGATAGGATAAATTAAAAGCATTTTGGAGATTCGATGTAGCAATGAGAGTAGAACAATTTATTGGTAAGAGTAGCATATCCTCTGGAAATATTTGATGTTAATTAATCTCATCAAAAAATCCTTTTCATGAAAGTTTAGATGAAAGTCAAGAGAGAAGGGAGGTAAGGGAAGAAGAAAGGGGTCAAGTAGCCATCCTTTGGAGTTCTAATTTTAAATATTTAAATGGATAAGTCGATGGCGTCAATTCATCCCAAATAAAGGGAGGTAAAATATGAGAAATTGTATAAATACTGGAGGAAAATTTTTGGATACAGCGAAATAGAAATGAAAGAGAAGAGGTCAGGTGGTGATGAAGTTATGATGCACATCATTGGTCAGAAAGCTTGTTATCGTCTGCCACTAGTAGATGATCGCTGAACGAGAGGTAACACATCTTTTTATTTCTTAATTAACCATGATTTATTAGAGTAAACAGCGAAGAAACTCTTTAATTGTATCTCAAAATCACCATTCAAATTCAGGTCCAGCCATTTCAATTGCCCACCGGAATTTGTCCCTTTGGGTTTTGTTGTAAATTTTTTCAATTGGAACGTTAAATTTTTTACACCTAAAGAAAAGGAAAATAGACATGTAATGATGATCCTGATGAGCAATTTATAAATGAAACAACTAAAAGGCTAAATATTGATAAAACTAGTCAATCCAATCGATTATCAATGATTTTAAGGGCAAACTTATCAAAGTTTAAAAATTCAAAAAATAGATAATACAAAAATAGAAGTTGATTAGCAATACTTACCAAGCCACACTAATTCTTGGGTCGAGATAATTAAGTTTACTGGTACCAAGGGCAATTTGCTTGTTTTCCTCTCTGTCAACAGCCTGTACTTCTAATTTTTTTAATTGTTCTTCTAAAGTTTTCAGCTTCTTCTTCAGTTTGTCACTTTTATCACTTTTAAGTTCTTTTTTAACCTTCTTCATCTGATCTTTTTTATCCTTTATTTTATCTTGTAGATTAGCCATCGATTTTTCGAATGTTTTTGGAACAGCACGTTGATGGTTACACAGAACGGCAACGGCACGATTAGCACGGTTATAGGCTAACATCAATTCAGCTTGAGACATATCAGTTTTTGTTAGCAATTTCAATTGCTGCTGAAGAGTTATGGAGGCGTTGTATGTACGGAAAACTTTGGCCGTTAAGCCATCCATAAGTGAATTAAGATATTTATTAAGAGTAGATGTATTCAAACGATCAAAAAGATCATCTTCAGATTGTTTATTCTCCATGAATAACTTTAGATTTTTGAAGACTCTTTTTTCTACTTGCACAGAGTTGACATATCTAATTGAATCTTTACCCAGAAAATCGAAGTCAACAACGTATTTTTTACCATCCTTTTCCTCATGAAGAACAATGTGTTCACACCTAAGAGAACAACAACCTACAGTATCAGCTGTTTCACCTTCTTCTTTTTCGTTACCAGCTCTCAAAGCTAGCCTGTCGATAAAATACAGAGCAACAGCACGCTGACGTTTTACCATTTCTCGGTCTTTGAAGTCGTTTCGGTAATCCTCACGGATCTTGTCAACTAATTTAGCTAATTCTCTAGCTTTCTCATATTTTTGCCAATCCTTCATGGATTTCAACTTAGAAGAAGGGTTCAACATAATGTACTTCACATTGCCCATAATATTTTCGGTCCATGATGCTAACCATGAGACGGTATTATCATGTCTAACTTCTTTCCATTTGTGACCAGGCGGGGGTTGAGGGATAGGTGCTTTTTTACCAATATTAATAATGACATCTTCAGCATTGATACGAGCCTTGACTTTACCCATCTTTGGATGGTCACCTCGACCTCTAAATAAACCAGGAGGTTCAATTTTGAAATTACCAATCTTTTGTTTATGTCCATCTACTATACAATAACCATATTCTTCTACAATAGCTTCCTCCTTCTTTTTTCTTTCTTGTTTCTCCTCTTTGGTCATTTGTTTACGTAGTTCACTTTGTTCCTTGAAGTATTCATGCATTGACCTAAAATCACATAGACTTAGATCCTCAATAAGTGATTTTTCGCTAGAATTCATATATTTACGCCAATCTTTAATGAAATTTGAGTTGAACGTGTCTTTTGAAGTGTATTCATGATCAAGCATTTTAGCATAAAAACCGGCTACCTCCTCAGCACCAGGAGATAATTTTAAAGCTTTACCATCATAATAAAATTTGACATTAGACGGGAGTGGTTCATATTCTGGTGGAAAGACTGGACCTTTGTGAATCAATGTTTTCCATTTTATATTAGAGTCCAAATTATCTTCTTCCCACCATTTCCATATATGTTGAGCTTCCTCTTCATTCTTTTCCTTCTTGACCTTTTTCCTAGGTGGTTTAACTGGACTACCATTTTCTTCTTTTTCCTCCTTTACCTCCTTTTTAACCTTCATAGTAACCTGTGAAAAAAATGAGTTGAGAAAAGAAAAATAGGGGGGAGAGAGAAAAAAGAAAGAAAATTGAGAGTTGGAAGAAAGCAGATACAAAAAACCATAAAAAAGACGTAGTAGAATAACTTACCTTTCAGGCCCATGTAAGTGTCGGATGAAAACTATTTGAAATTGCGATGTTTTAAGATTAAATTCACACTAATTGACAGATAAGTTAAACAAAAATTGGTAACATGTGGGGAAGCGGAAATCACTGGTGGCAACAAAGAGTGTTTGATTCTCTCTGGTTACTGTCTCTGGCAACTGATCACTGCACGGTTACTTTGTTCTCGTTTCAAACAAATATCCGTTTTCTTTGTTGTTTTCTCCAATAAATTGTAGGGCACAAATTAAAGTTGACACAAAAAGTTAAAATGTATCACTAAATTAGCAACAGTCCAAAAATAAGTCACAAATTAAAATCGATTGTAGGCAGGAAAATTTAAAAATTAATAAACGGTTTATTGTGAGCAACCAAAGTCTATCACCCCCTTTGTCTCACCCTCAGTAACCAGAAATGTTGCGATCCTCTTTAACCTCAGTGGTTACTTTTGCAACGCCACCTGTAGGATTTCCAAATAATGGTTTTTTATTGTTGTTGCATAATAATTTTACCTTTTCTTACAATAAAGAGAACCAAATAACCGGTTTTTGTACCAGTAGAGTTAATAACTTGAAGTGAGCATTCATGATAACTAAATTCTTGATTGAAAGAGGAACCGGCGCCATTAGTTAAGTTATCTCATCATATAAAGTTGAAAGACTTTTGTAACCACTATTTAACCAGCCATTGTTTATCTGAATATATTACCATAAAGATGCTGAGAAATCAAATGAAAATTATTTTTGATTGTTGTGTTAACAAATGGCGATAACACTGACTTGGAAAGTTGAATAAGATGACATTGGAGTCTTTTTATTCTCATAGTTTCAATTCGATAATCTTAACATATCTGACCATTTTTATTATCACAGAAAATTTTATTTCAGACAATATCCTGAAATCAGTGAAGTTCATACCTTCAACTAATTTAAATCTGAGAAAAAACAAATTAAAGAATCAAATTGCGTTTAACTTTACATATACACCAGAATCATGTGTGTATATGTATGTTCGTTCAAAAAGAAACTAGCATAATTATGATTTTTTCACGGTAAGCAATCAATTTTGATAGAAAATTAAAATACAATGAAATTTAGGTTAACCACGGTAACGAGGTTAATTACTCATTAGATTCCAAACATCGAAAATTGAAACAGCAAAGTGCCTTATTTTACAGTCTTGTGGGACAGAATGAGCAGTTTTTATCTCCCTGAGATGACCATCATACACAGCTAATCTGCTGTGTTTCCTTCCCTCTTCGCCTTGTCCATAAACCATTGGATGCAGAATGGGTTGCGATTGGAATGATTTTATGATCTCTGAAATTTTTCTAGTAAAAGATCGTCTACCCAAATAATGGCAATATTTTAGGTTACATCTAGATTCATTAGCCACATCACGATGCACCAATTGATACGAGCAACTTATACCAGGAACTATATCATTTACTTGCATTTTTGTTTCAAGAAGAAAACAATCGCCATCATCAAATGCTCTCATTGCAAGCTCTTTGGTATCGTATTGCCAATTCCAACGAGCGTTCAACAATCTGAAGAATTGATGAAAAGTATTAAATTTTAATAGAACGCTTTCATAAAGTTAAATAAAAATTTTATTTTTCAATAATTTTACCCTGTTTGGTCGTATTCGGCATTCAGCAGACCGGCATTGTGATAAGGATTTACATGCTGCACTCCGACATGATCTTGTTGTTTAATCGGTATTCCTGTGTATGCAGATAGCTAAAAAACAAATATAAGATGAATTAGAAAATATTGAATTTCTTTTCTTTTCTTTTGACTTACTTGATGGAACAATTGTTTCCTGTAATCAAAACTTTCATTTGACCAATCAATTGTAATGTCATGATAATCCTCATCCGAATGCCTTACTTTTATTGTAACTAAACAAAACAAAGAACACATTAAAAAACTGAATCAAAATATAAACGAAACTTACTTTTATCAGAATTACTATTCTCTTGATTCATTACACTTAAAAAATATATTTCCAGTACAAATTAAAAATGCTTTAAGTTAAATGATGAATTATAAAATTTTAATTCGATCACAAAATAGTGCAGCAAAAGTAGATCACTTCTTGTGTATATAAAAGGGCAACTTTAAGATCTCTGTTGAAAAGACTCTTTGTACAGGAATATTTTTCAAAACAAGTGTTTAAGAAGTTTAGTCGAGATTTCAAGTTTAGTGAATGTAACCTAGGCGACTCGCATGTCCCATAATACACTAAAAGATCAGATATCGATTTAGATACTCGGAATCAGCATAAAAAATTGAAATTAAAACAGGAGAAAGGCAAAACATTTCAATTGAAATAAATTCTGTTCATTTGCAGATCTTCCTTGCTGCTCGGAAACATCATAGAGTGAACCACGTAATTGCTAAAGCTAAATTACGGCCTTATTCCGAGATTGAGACAAACAATTTAGAAACATATTCATCTACAAAAAACGAGCAAAACAAATGAAAAGGTAGTTGAGTAGCGATGGCTCAGCTTGATCTTCGATAAAAATTAAAACAGGAGAAAGGCAAAACATTTCAATTGAAATAAATTATCAAGCCACTATTTTCTTTTATTATTTCTTTGCCTTTTGAGCATAATCAGAATAACCACAAAATTGGATTGGACGAATAATTGGGAAGATTTAAAATGACTGCTAAAATTTAGAAATTCCAGTGTTCATTTTGACTCTGGAACTGAATCAACATTGAAGAAAGAGTGATGAATTTAACAATTTGAAAGTGAAGTTGAGTATATGAGTGAATGGTGAACTTTTGATCTTGAAAACAGTAAAAATTTTGCTTTTGTTTTCTTTGTCCAGATTGATTTCAATTTGGTAACAATTGTACAAAACTAGTCGGGAAAACACCTTTTCGATCAGGATCACCTTCAACAACTCCTTCCATCCAATCATCATCGTCAGTTTTTTCACTTAAAATTAAAATTATTTCTCCTTCTTTAAATGTTAATTCATCATCTCTTTCGGCTTCACAATCATAAAGCGCTTGACATCGACGGATGCGTCCCGTTGTTAAATCATTGCGTTGCTGTTCAATAAAAATCATAAAAAAACAATTGATTAGACTTTCATATTAATAATTGATAACCGAAAATTGAATAATCTCAAATAATGATGATACCTTTCTAGGAGGTGGAACAGGTAGACTACGAGCGGCTGAATCAGAATCAACACTCGAAGCTAATTGTTCAGTTGATTGACCGTTACTGAGTCTACGATTTGATTGAGTTGGAGTTTGATTAGATGGTTGGGTATTCCTTAAAGACATTTTTCCGTCCAAGTCACGCAAATTGCCGGATGAGCCTGTGATGAAGAAAATAAATTGACATTTTACTAATAGTTCATTGAAATATCATTACAAAAAGGTTTACCATAAAGAAATCCTTGGTGAGGTAAACGTATTGGTGGAGGACCGATTGTGGTCGATCTGTTTAAGCCTTGAGAAGATGAAATAGGGGAAGATAAATTAATGGGAGAGGGTTTGATTGAAGATGGTGCTTTGGTCTCAGATGAGGGATCATTTTTAAAAGTAACTTCAAGTTCAGCAGATATATCTTTCCATTGAGTTACTTTCTGGATAAGTGCACTAGTATCACTGGTAGCTCTCGAATGTAAATAAAGTCGACCAGCTCGAGAAATGGACATTTTTCCATCAGATGGAGATGACTTGGAGGAGGATGAGGTAGCAGAGGGTGATTCATTAAAATTTGCAGATGATTCTGCATTTTTTTCATCAAAAGAATACTGTCCTTGCCTATTTACCACTGGTGTAGTGGTTGCTGGCGCCTTAGGAGCTTTCTTTTTAATACTTCCACTGTTTCCAAACAATGAAATGATTTTTCCTTTATTTGGAATTGGTTTAACAATATCTTGATTAGTTGTTAATGGTGATTCACTGCCAATAACACTTGATGGACGAGAACGATTGATGAAACTAGAAGGAAGTTGATACGGTTGTTGATGACTTTGAGGCTGCTTAAATAAAATAAAAAAGGAAATGATAGATTGATTAGAGAAGTTTCAATATGATATAATAATAGTTATGGAAGTTGATAGACATTTTGTGAACAGTTGAAAATAAAAAAAGAAGGTTCAACAGCAAAATAAATACAAACATGGAAAAATAAACGGAGAAGAGGAAATCGAATAGCAAATTGCAAGCATTGAAAAATTGATAAAACGATGGCGAAAATGTTTTTGTTTCATTCATTAAGGACGATGTTAGGTTAATTACCAGATTCGAGTAATCATTTTTTAGTTGTGTTAGGTGTTCAACGGACGTTGACTGGTCCAAGGAGGAAAGTAAACATTTTCTCGGGGTCAACTCACTCGACGCTCTGTTTGGCGAGCTAATAAGATCAGGGGTAATTGAGCCATTTAAAAACAATCGCTTAATATCAGTATTGTTAGCATCAGAAAATAACCACTCGTAGCACTCTTTTGTCATATACTAAATTAGTTAGTTAGATAGGGAAGCATTAAGTTTTCAGGTTATTAAGGTAATTGGTTAATTGATTAGTAGATGATTGGCTCATAGGTTTTATAAACTCGAGGTTGGGATGCAGCGTTTGAGTTAGCGAACTTTTGGAAAGTTAAATCAAAGATTAGCTTACCTTATCATCTATAATATCTTCATCACTAAAATCTGTAAGGATATCTTCCATAGGTATGGATGGCAAGCTCCAGTCAATATTAACATTTTCAAATAAGTTTTTCTTATTAGCAGTTGCATGCTCTAACTGTTTAAAAAAGGTTAAAAAAGGTTATTAGTGATTCAATCAAGTTATTGGATTATTGCGATGGTTATTAGATTAAACTTACCAGTTCAATTAGATTTGGAAGCTCTTTCTCTTTTGCTAATTGTAGAGGAGTTTTACCTTCATTGTTTTTTAGCAATGAATTCGCTCCACATCGAAGCAAAATTTTCATACATTCACTTTGGTTATGAAGAACACAGTAGTGTAAAGGTGTGTTACCTTGGCGATTTTTCATATTCAGATCGGCATTGTTTTGTGCTAAAAAGTCAGTTATATGGAGTGAAGAACCATCTTCTTTTGCGATGATGATATGAAGGCTTGCCTCACTATTGGCAGTGAAACTAGGGAGAATCCAATTGAGATTTCCACCTTCTACGAATACTTGGAGAACCTGATAGATATTTCTTGATAGAATCGCTTGTTCTAAATCATTTTTCAAATCATTTACATCACCACTACATGAACGGAGGGCAAACTTTTTATCCATATATTTGGTTCGAATAAATTCGAATCGTTCTTCCATGGAGCTGGTTGGTTGTAACTTTCTTGTTGGATCTAATGTGGCTTCCATGATATCATTGAAGCCTGCGTTGGACATCACTCGAGCTAAGAGAAGCTGTGATGTTCCAATATTATCAAGTGTCAGAGACTGCACACGAGAGATATGAACACCAAGATCACGATGGATTCCAGAGCATTCAATACATAGGACAACACCAAAATTAGTTGACAACCATGTTGCATCTTTGGTCGATCCACAGTCAACACATTTATCATTACCGGGAAGCTTGAGAACCTGGTTAATTACACTTTGTCTAAGTTCAATTAAACTCTGTGATGCATGACTACCAGACCGATAGGAACCACTAATTCCAGATGAACTATCTAATGAAACCGGGGCAGAATCAAACTCTTTTTTGAGGGCATTTTCTTTTGAATTGAGTAAAACAGAGACCCAGGCTTCACACTCATTTTCATCTTCAGCTTGAAAACGATAAGTACGATCAAAGGCAACTAAGTCAAAAAATTTCTTCTCATCGGGAACAGGTTTAACTTGACAAGTTAGAAGATTCACTTTGGTAGGAAGTTTGGATTCATCGGAATGGTGAACATAAAGAAAACCGTCTTTAACTTCGCACCTTCTTTTGCACCATACCTTAACTTTCATTTTACCCTCAGACTTTTTAAGAAGATACCCGAGTTTATAGACACCGTAGTTTTTGTTCCCTTGAATTTGATGTAACGTGTAACCACCTCTACTTTCTCGTCTATCAACAGTTGACATACCCGAATGACTCAATCCTTGACTGAAAGTAATGCTATTTAAATCTTTGGATTGTTGTCCATCAACACATGGTGACGTTGATCTGAGGAGAGTCCGCAATTCAATTAAACTTTTTCTTTCTTCATCTCGTCGTTGTTTAATAGTCTGTAATTTGCTGGATAACTCGGCAATGTAGTAATTAAAATGTTCGATAGTCTTAAGTCCATCTTGAAAGTAGCTTGTTTGTGCATGATAGTAGTCAATTAGGTGGGATAATAGTTCAACACTTGTTTTGGTTTTAATTTCGTTTACTTTGATTAAATACTCGCAGAGAGTAAGTTGGAGAAGTTTTCTTTCTTTGTCAAGCTCTTCACAGTTCTCTGCTGAAGAACCATCAGTTTTGTTGTGTCCAGATTCTTTGGCTTGAGATTTCCTTTCCTTTTCAATTTTAGTTAGTTTTGATTCATAATCACGGTAAGCCTTATCAAAAGGTTTCTTTAGATCTCCTTTAGCTCCTTTCAAATCTCCTTTAAGAATGTTTTCCAGAGGAAACATAACAATGTTTTTCATATTTTGCATCTAGAAAAAACAAGAAGGGTGCGTAAAATGGCTGAGCAAATTTGAAAAATCTCAGGTCATCAAGGGAACAAAAAACAATATTTACCAAAGTTCCCATAAGATTTGACAATTCCTTGGTAACAATTGCAAATTTCTTGAACGCTGCTCCTATTTCAAATTCATTATCTTTTATTTCAGCGTTTTCTCCTAACTTGTCCAAGACTTTTGAAAGGTAGACCTCATTGTCACAGTGAGCTGTGGGTAAAGGATAATAAAACATAAGAGAGATTTACTCAAAGTTTACTTGAAAATGTATTAAATGCATAGAAAGGGTTTGTATACTCACAATTACCACTGTTATGGATTGCTTTCAAAGCTTTTTTCAATTTCATCAACCCCTCTCTTTCTGTGTCCAGCATCTGATTAAAAAAACCAACACATAAAAGAATAATATTAGAGCATCAATCACTTTGACAATTGCATCAGTGACTCACATTCTCATTTTGAATTACATCCATATATTTTTCAACAAACTTGATGATAACCATTTCTGATGAGTTAAATATTTGGGTCAGATCTCTTTGCATTTGTTGTTCACTAAGTAAAAATGAAAAAAAGAAACATATTGTTAAAATCATTTGATAAGTTATTCTACCTTTGGATTTTTAATAGATCATAAGATCAAGTAAAGGTCTAAAAATGTATTGCCACTTACCTCATGTTTGGTGATTTTGAGTCCGTTTACCACGGCTAACAAAAGTATTAAAAGATTATAATAATTTAATTACAGTACTAATGTTTATCAAAATTGTTTTGATTTGGTTAAAATTAAATATTATCCATTCCACTGTTTACCAAACCTGAGCCTAGATACCAAAAACTAACCAGTGAGCCAGAAAATAAACAGCTTAGCTGACTGTCAAACATGAAGATGAAATCATTTTCGATCTATCGATATACAGGTTGTTAATTAATGAACTTTTGGCGTTTATTCCTAGTTTTTTTAGATTAATTTTTGATTCACAATAAGTTTTTCACAACATGTGTCATTCACTTTATATCAAATCAGTGAGAAACAGAGATTTCATATCATCATGAATGACTCGATTAGTAATATTTAATTTTAGATTTTTTGTAGATTTGCTGTTTCTACGATTAAATCTTGATTAATGTTGCTTTTTCACCTTTAAACTCATAAGCCATGGAAAAATCAAGCTAATTGTTCAGTTCATGAGATAAATGCAAGATTCAAATTCTGTTTAAATTAGAAGTAATGAGAGCAATTGTTGGTAATAATTGAATTAAAATTGTAAATTTGGTTTTAAAGAAATGAAAATTATAACAAAGGGAATATTTAGCGCCTCCTATCGAGTAACTGTAAAATTTCACAAAAATAAGCCTCAGTTGTTGAATCTTACATATAAAAGCAAAAACCCAATTAAACTTAACCATTTTCGCTCATTCTCTGAATTTGTTTTCCTTGTTTGGATCAATTAATTATTTTGTTTAAATTTAAATTTAACATCCAAAAATTCAACAGTAAATTATCATCATGGGTGTTCCTAAATTTTATCGTTGGATGTCTGAAAGGTATCCCTGCTTAAACCAGGTTGTCCGTGAAAGTGAGGTAAGGTTTCACAATGTCTTCCTTTTTCTATTGTGTGAATTTTATTTTGTTTACCCTTTTCAATTATTTGGTATTGAATTTGATTCCAAATTTGAGCAAAATTACCATTAACTTTTTTATATATTGTTTGATATCTGTGGCTTAAGCATCTAATCATGTTATTGACCTCATTGACCAATTTTATTCCTTTGATTTTCTCTTTCTGATAAAGCAACTAAAAAATGATCTATGCATCACCTTGTTTACCTTATCTTAATGCATTATTTTGTATCTTTCCCCCGATCTGTTTGCTTTTTTTTCTTTAGATACCTGAATTTGATAATTTATATTTAGATATGAACGGTATTATTCACGCCTGTTCACATCCAAACGACGAGGATGTCCACTTTAGGCTTCCTGAAGAGGTTATGGTTAAAGATATTTTTAAGTATATCGAGGTTCTTTTCAATATTATTAAACCACGTAAAATTTTTTTCATGGCTGTTGATGGAGTTGCACCTCGAGCAAAGATGAATCAACAAAGAGGACGTCGTTTCAGATCCGCAAAAGATGCTATCACAAGAGAAACAGAAGCACAAAATAAAGGAGAAGTATTGCCTAAAGAAGCACGATTTGATTCAAATTGTATCACACCAGGTACTGATTTTATGGCAAGACTTCAAAAGCATTTGGAATACTTTGTTGCTTCCAAAATTTCTAATGACGAACTCTGGAAAAATGTCAAAGTCATTCTTTCTGGTCACGAAACTCCTGGTGAAGGTGAACACAAAATAATGGATTTTATTCGCACTCAAAGATCACTACCCGACTATGATGCTAATACACGGCATTGTCTTTATGGTCTCGATGCTGACTTAATCATGCTTGGGATGTGCTCACATGAACCCTATTTTGCATTACTACGTGAAGAAGTTAAATTTCGCCGAAGGAAGGAGAAAGAGCCAACGTTTCATGTTAATCCTGAAGCAATTAATTTTCATTTACTTCATCTCTCACTTTTACGAGATTATCTTGATCATGAATTCTCATCTCTCAAAAAATCTTTACCATTTGACTATGACCTGGAATGTATTATTGATGACTGGGTTCTCATGGGTTTTCTTTGTGGTAATGATTTCATTCCTCATCTGCCTCATTTTCATATTGGTAAAAATGCTCTCACCACATTGTACAAAGTATACATGGATGTTTTACCTAGTTGTAATGGTTACCTCAATCACCAAGGAAAACTCAATCTACAAAATTTTCAAAAGTTTCTCCATAAATTATCTGAAATTGACGTAGAAAATTTCAATGAAATGAACGCTGACTTTAAGTATCTAGAATCTAAATCAAGTCGATTTAAATCTCCTAAAAAATTGGTACGATACGAAGAATGTGATGGAATTATTGGAGAGTCATTGGAGTCGGGGAATGATGATGATTCTAATTTAATCGATTTAGGCTCAGAAGAAGCTTCAGATGCTGAAGAGGAAGATGAATTGTCGATTTCTGAAGAAGATGATACTCTAGAAGATGAATTTATAATGCATAAAAGAGATTATTATCGGACTAAAATGCATTACGATGATGTTACTCCAGCAGTTTTGAAAGAACAAGCATATTGTTATATCAAGGCCATCCAGTGGAATCTACATTATTATTACGATGGTTGCCCGTCATGGTCTTGGTATTATCCTCATCATTATGCACCTTATATTTCCGACGTTAAAAGCTTTGAAAATATTGATCTCACTTTTGACCTTGGTCAACCTTTTAAACCGTTTGAACAACTGTTAGGAGTTTTACCTGCAGCAAGCAAAGAATTTTTACCCAAACCGTATCAGAGACTAGTTACGGATGAAAGTTCACCATTAAAAGATTATTATCCGGAAGAATTTGAACTTGACTTAAATGGTAAAGTTAATAGTTGGGAAGCTGTTGTTGTAATACCGTTTATAGATGAAGAAAAGTTGTTGAATGCTGCTCGTTCTTGTGAGTCACAATTATCAGAAAGAGAGAAAAGAAGGAATTGCCATGGTCCTCATTTATTGTTCACGTATTCAAAAGATCATCAGGAGCCTGTGCCCTCAACTCTACCTGGTTTCTTGCCTGATATAGAAGTGAGTCATGCAAAGTTGGTAAAAGTCAATAAAGATGCCTACAATATTCCAATGAATCAGATCAGGAAAGGTTTACTACCTGGTATCGATCCTGATGTTTATACTCCAGGTTTTCCAACTCTCCGTACTATGGAACATACTGCTCGTTTAGAAAAAGCAAATATAAGGGTTTTTGAAATGCCCTCATCTGGATACAGCATTTTGGTCGATTTAACACCTAAACCAGAAGTTACTTTAAAATCTCTACTCAGTGATTACCTTGGCAAAACAGTTTACATTAATTGGCCTTTCCTTGTTGAAGCGAAGATTTGTAAAATATGTGATGGTGAAAAAATATTTAGTTATAACAGCGTAGGCCAGAGTGAATCCAGAGCACTAAGAGATAAAGAGAAGAAAGAAATTGATTCGCAAGTGAAAACAATCGCAGAAAGTCTAAAAAACCGACGTGGTATACATTTACCTCATTTTGATTTCATTCTGTATTGTAAACCATTGACTGGATGTAAGTACAACTTGGGATCTAATGGTGTGGTTTCTCTTGATAAGCAATGGTCACCCGTAGAGAATTGTGTCCCTTTACCTATGGCTATTAAGGATCTTCCGATAAGGCAAGGAATCATCAACAAGCATATAAGCTCAATGAATTGTTCCCTGTTGGATCTAAATGTTTTATTCTTAATGAACAATATTATGGAGATCTTGCTGATATTATTGAAGTTCAAAAGAAAACAAACAAAGTCAAAGTAATGATACAAAGAGTAGCTGAACCTGATTTGATTGAAGTTAAAAATCGATCTTATGAACTAATGAGCAAAGAATACATGACTAATCACGCGTTAGCTCAGAGGTTGAGCGTTAACCCGTGTATTGTTTCGAGATTAACTGGGACAGTTATGGTAGAGAAAGCCAACGGAAATAAAGTTAATATTGGCCTTAACTTAAAATTCAATACAAGACGAGAATATGTGCCTGGTTACTCTCAAAGGCGTGATGAAACTTGGTTATTTTCATGGAAAACTTTGAAACTCATGGAAGAGTACAATTCTAAATTTCCTGAACTTTTTATTAATTTAAGTAGACTTGCGGACCAAAAACGTTTCCAACCTGAACAAATCTTTAATGGACCTAATCCGTAAGATTTATTTTATCTATATTTCTCCATCTTCTATCTATTAATAACAAAAATGTAAAATGTTTTATTTTGACAGCGAGGCAAAAATATCTGAGGTCGCAGCTTGGTTGAAAACTTTGCCTTATCAAAATGCTCGACGAATGAAGTTTGATACTGAAGCACTTGACGAGGTTGTTGTCAAATGTATTGAAGATGTATTAGACGCGCACAAAGTAAGTTAATACAAAATCCTAAATCACTTACCTTTTAAAACCATTTATATTTTAATATAATTTTATATTACATTATTTATTAGGTTTTTGCCAATCAATATGAACCGATAACGTTAGTTTATTCCACAAATCAACTTTATCGTCCAGCCAATATTATTGGCCACTCACCGCCTGATCCTAACGCCACGTTTAATCTATTTGATCGTGTGGTAAATGTTCGAGAAGGAATTTCAGTTCCACTTGGTGCAAGAGGAGTCATCATTGGGAAAACGAAAGACAAGCAAGATGATGATACTTATCTGTGTGATATAGTCTTTGATGAATCTTTTATTGGAGGAATGAGTTACAATTGCAGTGCTGGACGTGGTTATCGACTCCATCCTTACAACTTGATCAACATATCTTACAGGAAAAAGAAAGGCAGCTATGGGGTTAGGGAAGATTTTGATATGGCTCCTATCCAGCCTACAAAAATTGACCAGCGAGATAAAAAAGCACGTCAAAAAGCTTCTCCTGGCTTTAAAAAGCTGATCAATCTGTCTCCTAACCGTAACCATGAAAGACATGACTATTCAAATAGACGTGAATATAATGATCAAGGAAATCAAAGCTATACTCATCACAATTACAGTGACCATCGAAATAATAAACAAGTGATTTCTTCTCCAATACAAATTAACCATTCACCAAAATCACTATTCCAAAGTCCACGTGAATCTAACAGCAGTGATTTTTCATCCCTTTGGAATAAAATCAGGAATCATGAAGATTCTCAACCCGAAGAAAGTGCTAGTCATATGGATACAACTGCATCGACTGCTGCATCTTTGGCCAAAGCTAATATGATTAACAATGAACTCGTCGAAATGTACAAAAATATGGAATTGAAACAAACAGAAAACCTTAAATCGCTAAAATTAGATGATACGAGTATTGATTTAAGTCTTATCCAGTTTCCAGTATTACCACCACCTCCTCCTAAATGGTTTGAAAAAGATGAAACAAGCCCGATACCTGAAGCATTAGTTGAGAATCATCAGATATTTAATAGAGTAAAAAAGGCACAAAAAAATAAATTATCTGCCTCAAATTTGACAAACCAGCAACAACAGCAAAAAACGAATCGAAATTCAAACACACAGCAACTTTATCTACCATTTCCACGACAAATACAAGGACCGAGGCCGAACAAGTTCATTCCATTGCAAGTTGAAAGAAACAAGCAAAAACTCGATGATTCTTTCGCAAAACGATCATCAGCTCCTCATGATAATAAGACCGAACATCGTAAAAACGAAATGGCTATACAAAACAGGCGATCATCTAAACATACTGAGAGTGCTAAAAAGTCCGTCAAGCGTCGTGAAAGTCGAATTATGGTTGGAATTGGATCAAAACCTGAAGCTGCAGAACAGGAAAATTTAATATTATTTGAATGATCAATATTTGTCTCAGCTAATTGCATTTACAATAAAACACATGAAGATTTGAATAAACTTGTTATCAAAATTATATTATTCCAATAGCGTCTGTAGTGTTGAAGATGAGGCTTATCCGTGGTTGAATCAGTATGTGGAAACTGATCAAGGTAAAATTAAGTTAATATGTGTAATAGAGAGTTGTTACTCAATTAATTTGAATAGATTATTAGGTTTATGGGATGGAGGATGTCAAATTGAATAGGGATAATTGCCTATTTTCAGATCACTTTTAAAATAATTTTTTCTTGAGTATTTTTTATGCTGACTCTGAAAATATTCAGGAGTCTAGAAATGCAAAGTTTATTGGTAATCAAATGGGGTTGTGGGCCTCATTGGCTCCACTGTTCGCTGTCGCACGAACTACAATAGTGTATGGTAGTACAATTTTCATATTACAAGCAAATGCTTGTTTACAATATTTCATTAAGAGAGGAGAGACAGAAGAGAGGAGAAACCAATAGGGCCAGAGAGAGACTCGAACCCGGGGTTCCATGTGGGATTATCAGACGCCCTAACCACAGGGCTATGCAAAGGCAACCGACTCTACGCATGCTCAGGTACTTTAACTTTTTGCGATCATTTTAAAATCATTTTGTAGGTTAACTTTATTTTAAATTACAATGAGTTAATCAGTTAATATCAGGTTCGGAATCAATCAGCTCATTTGCTTGCTAGAGGTCTAATTAGCTTCACAAAAATATATATTATTATGAGTTTTTTAGCAAATTGAGATCCCTCACAATTCCCCCACTTTAATCGTACCTGGCTTGAAGATTATCAAAGTACAGTATTCCCTTGAGTTTTTTGCTTTTTTGTTACACTGCCATCTAGGTGAACTACAAGGGGAAACCACGAATTTTACAGTTTAAACAATTAAAAAACTTAATGACTCCCCCTATAGGGAGAGGACTCCTCAAAGGGAGCAAAGAGGCAAAGAGGGGAAGTCAATTAAAGAGTAGCTTGCAGTTAGAGACCAGTTGGTTACTGGTAACCGGTTAAATGGTTAGAGGGGGAAAAAAGTAACCAAGTATGGTTACTATAACCAGTTACTATAACCGGTTACAAAATAACCGGTTACTTGCTGGTTACATTGAGAGGGAAATTTGAAAAGAAAGTAAAGAAAGTAAACAACAGATTTCTAAATACATTAATAGATGGCGCTGATAAAAGATGAAAAATTAAACTTTTTATTTTTGAATTTGGCGGTAAGAAATTTGTAACCAGCAAGTAACCGGTTATTTGTAACTGGGGGTGAAAGAACCACAGTTACTGGTTATACTAACCAAACTAGCCTGTAACCGACGTATCTCTACTTGCAGTTGATTAAAATTATCAACTTTTTGAATGTTAGCAAAAAGTTAAAGTACTTGAGCATGCTCAAAATGACGGGTGCCTTTGGGTTTTCACACTTCTGTGGCAGCCGTTGCCTTGATTAACAAAGACGCTAAATGCTCAACTGTGATTGGTTGGGTGCCTTTGCATTTCTAGACTCCTGTGAAAATATAAATCATATTTTGATCAGAGGTACCATTCTTTAGATATTCACGAATAAAAAACCACACCAGGACAGATTGAAAGAATAAATTCCATCTAGTGATAAGAGAAATTGTCTAAACTTAGCTACTCATAACTCGCCTCATCAATTAATTGAAGAGACACTCTCATCGACACCAAAAATAGTAAAAGACGTGATAAACGAGAAAATATGAGTCGTAATAAGAATATTTCAGATGATATTCTGTCTCCAGGTATATAAATTATATCAAATTCACATTTAAACTGAACGTTAAAATTTCCAAATCTAATATTTAATCTCATTTTTCTTATCTTTTATTGATTTCCTTTAGATGAAGTATTCAGGCCCAAAGACATTGATCTTGAAAATGATGAATTAGATGAAACCGAGAAAGAAATTGAGGCTTTTAAAAGGTTTGAAGTGAAAACCAACTAATATCAAACTTAATTTAACTAACTTTTCTTTCTCTTTTTATTCTCACAAGGGAAGTAACCCAGCTGGTACGGGCAGATCAAAATGAAAGTGGGTTTAATGGAAAGCCCGTGTCAAAAAATCCTTAAAAACACTAATCTTGCGATCAGCAAATCGATCTGAAAAAAGTTACAGGGTCGCCAATGTTTTGATGGCGGAGGTCGAAATGATTAATAAAATCGAATTTATAGAGAATATTTATTTTAAATCATAAGACTTAGGTGTAAATGACCACAAGGAACCCAAATCTGGCAGCAGTTTTTTTCTACCATTTTTAGTTATCGAAAAAATCGCAAAAAACCATAAAATTAAACCTTTGGATTACACCAACAACAACAATTATCAAACAATAATCGAAGAAAGTTGTTCCAAGGGACTCTCAAAGCTCTACTTTTCGGCCATGTTTTATTATTGTTTCAAGTTTAATTTTGTGCTGTTGTACACCAAACTCTAAATGATGAAAAGAATACGGTTGAACCTTCATCTTCTGATTGATGGCAAAACATCCAGTTGTAGATGAAACAAATTGTTATTCAGAATCGCATTAAATTGGAAAACACCAAAACACAAAATCCAAGTCTGTAGCAGCGAAAGTTGAAAACTTCTTAGAAAAGATGTAATGTAAAATGTTATGAATGCTATTACCTAGTGTGATACACAATTATAAACATAAGTATTTTTCACCAAACAGCGAAAGAAATTTTGAACACAAGAATGGATAAATGGTAAACCAATGGTCAATTTGTGCTTCGTATCCTAATCAATCGAGGAAACAAAACTAAACACTCTTAATTAAAACCACAATGGATTCAAAATTGATCATTTGGATATAGAAAAAAAACTTCATTGAGCAAAATAATTTTGGTAATACTTATTCAATAAGACTGTTGTTTTATTTCTAAACTTTCCTCTTTTTCTTCTTCTCTCTCCACTTCTCTTTTCATCTTATTAAAAGATTGAGAGATTTCAAAAGGAATCATGGTTTAAGGAAAAGTTGACTATTTAAGTTTTCGGTGTTCTGTTATTTTAGAGCAAAAATCGAACGAGAGAAAGAAAATTATTTATATAAATAAATGTGTCAAATGATTGAAAAGTTATCACCATCTACAAAGCAAATGATTGAAACTTGTATAAAAATAAATAAAAATAACAAGTATTTCTAAGAAAATGAAATTTTCATATGATTAAATATCATTTTATGATCTTATCGATTTATTGTTCATTTCTTCCATTTGTTCCAGCAATCAATTTTGAGATAGTGAATGAAGAGTACAACGAAATTGAGGTAAGCCTAAGTAATTATATAAAATCTAGATATCCAGAAGCGCTTTTAGCATAGTAATACTTTATTTCACAGTCTTGTGGGACAGAATGAGCGTCTGCAATGGTTTTTATCCCCTTAAGATGATCATCATACAAAGCTAATCTGATGCGTTTCCTTTCCTCTTCTGTTTGTCCATTGACCATTGGATCCAGAATGGGTTTCGATTGGTCTGCCTTTATGATCTCTAAAATTTTTCTAGTAAAAGATCGTCGACCCAAATCATGGCAATATTTTAGGTTACATCCAGACTCATTAGCCACATCACGATGCACCAATTTATACGCGCAATTTATACCAGGAACTATATCATCTACATGCATTAATGTTTCAAGTAGAAAACAATCGCCATCATGAAAAACGCTCATTGCAAGCTCTTTGGTATCGTATTGCCAAGCGTAATGAGCGTTAAAAAATCTGAAGAATTGATGTAAAGAAATTAAATTTTAATAGAACGCTTTCATAAAGTTAATTAAAAATTTTGTTGAAAAATAATGTTACCCTGTTTCGTCGTGTTCAGCATTTAGCATACTGGCGTTGCGCTGATGATTTACATGAACCACGTGTACATCAGATTGTTGTTTAATCGGTATGCCTGTGTATGCAGATAGCTAAAAAACAAATATAAGATGAATTAGAAAATATTGACTTTCTTTTCTTTTCTTTTGACTTACCTGATGGAACAATTGTTTCCTGTAATCAAAACTTTCATTTGACCAATCAATTGTAATGTCATGATAATCCTCATCCGAATGCCTTACTTTTATTGTAACTAAACAAAACAAAGAACACATTAAAAAACTAAATCAAAATACAAACGAAACTTACTTTTATCAGAATTACTATTCTCTTGATTCATTTCACTTCTAAAAAATATATTAGAATCCAATGGTCGAGAATCCATATCATTTTTGAGATACTTTTGAATTTTAACTTCAAAGTCTTCTTTTGAAATACCAAAAGCAATGCGCCTTATTCTACAGTCTTGTGGGGCAGAATGAGCGTCTACAATGCTCATTATCTCCCTGTTATGATCATTATACACAGATAATCTGATGCGTTTCCTTTCCTCTTCTGTTTGTCCATTGACCATTGGATCCAGAATGGGTTGCGATTGGTATGCTTTTATGATCTCTGAAATATTTCTAGTGAAAGATCGTCTACCCAAATCATGGCAATATCTTGGGTTACATCCAGATTCATTAGCCACATCACGATGCACCAAGTAATACGTGCAACTTATACCAGGAACATTAGCATATACATGCATCATCGTTTCAAATAGAAAACAATCGCCATCATGAAGACTTTCCATTGCATGCTCTTTGGTATCAAATTCCCAATTCCAAACATCGTTCGCAGATCTGAAGAATTGATGAAAAGTATTAAATTTTAATAGAACGCTTTCATAAAGTTAAATAAAAATTTTATTTTTCAATAATTTTACCCTGTTTGGTCGTGTTCAGCATTTAGCATACTGGCGTTGCGCTGATGATTTACATGAACCACGTGTACATCAGATCGTTGTTTAATCGGTATGCCTGTGTATGCAGATAGCTAAAAAACAAATATAAGATGAATTAGAAAATATTGACTTTCTTTTCTTTTCTTTTGACTTACCTGATGGAACAATTGTTTCCTGTAATCAAAACTTTCATTTGACCAATCAATTGTAATGTCATGATAATCCTCATCCGAATGCCTTACTTTTATTGTAACTAAACAAAACAAAGAACACATTTAAAAACTAAATCAAAATACAAACGAAACTTACTTTTATCAGAATTACTATTCTCTTGATTCATTTCACTTCTAAAAAATATATTAGAATCCAATGGTCGAGAATCCATATCATTTTTGAGATACTTTTGAATTTTAACTTCAAAGTCTTCTTTTGAAATACCAAAAGCAATGCGCCTTATTCTACAGTCTTGTGGGGCAGAATGAGCGTCTACAATGCTCATTATCTCCCTGTTATGATCATTATACACAGATAATCTGATGCGTTTCCTTTCCTCTTCTGTTTGTCCATTGACCATTGGATCCAGAATGGGTTGCGATTGGTATGCTTTTATGATCTCTGAAATATTTCTAGTGAAAGATCGTCTACCCAAATCATGGCAATATCTTGGGTTACATCCAGATTCATTAGCCACATCACGATGCACCAAGTAATACGTGCAACTTATACCAGGAACATTAGCATATACATGCATCATCGTTTCAAATAGAAAACAATCGCCATCATGAAGACTTTCCATTGCATGCTCTTTGGTATCAAATTCCCAATTCCAAACATCGTTCGCAGATCTGAAGAATTGATGAAAAGTATTAAATTTTAATAGAACGCTTTCATAAAGTTAAATAAAAATTTTATTTTTCAATAATTTTACCCTGTTTGGTCGTGTTCAGCATTTAGCATACTGGCGTTGCGCTGATGATTTACATGAACCACGTGTACATCAGATCGTTGTTTAATCGGTATGCCTGTGTATGCAGATAGCTAAAAAACAAATATAAGATGAATTAGAAAATATTGACTTTCTTTTCTTTTCTTTTGACTTACCTGATGGAACAATTGTTTCCTGTAATCAAAACTTTCATTTGACCAATCAATTGTAATGTCATGATAATCCTCATCCGAATGCCTTACTTTTATTGTAACTAAACAAAACAAAGAACACATTTAAAAACTAAATCAAAATACAAACGAAACTTACTTTTATCAGAATTACTATTCTCTTGATTCATTTCACTTCAAAAAAATATATCTTTGATAAGTATAATAAAAGTAAAATAAGTTAATTTAGAAGCAGAATTACAAAATTTTAACTGAAGATGAAGCACAAATATGGTGGAGCAAAAGTAGATCACTTGTCGTGTGTAGCAAAAGACTAAACTAAGATCACTTATAAAGAGACTCTTTTTCCCGCTTCTCAATACCAGTTTTAAGATTAGCCTCCTTTACTCTTTGGCTTGTTCCGAACCAGCTGGACCAAACCGCCTCTCCTCTTCGGTAAGGCTATACAGAGTGATCGGAAAGTTTCTGGTGTGAGGGGCTTTTTCCCCTTCTAAGCGCAGAGACACTGTTTGGTTTGTTGCTTCAATCAGCGCTACTCTTCTAAGCAGATATGGCTCCACCCCACACACCAGAAACTTTGTAATTAGTTCAAGAAAAGGCTTTCAACTTGGACCCTAAACATTGTTTGTTTTGCAGATTAAGACTATACCGAGTCGCTAATTATAATTGACTACATAGATGTATTTAGTCAATTATATAGTAATTAAGAATCATTTTCTAAGAATCGGAAATGGCTGTGGCTGATGAGAAGCGAAGTGAGCCTACGGATGTTTCTACAGCCTTACCGACTTGTGCTAGTTTTAAGTTGAACACTTTAACACAAAGTGTTTTTAAATAATAAATGCATTTCTATGTGGCGATAATCACTCTTTGTTGTCCATACACACAACAAACATTAACTCTCCCAAAATTGCATCGTTTAATTGTTGTAGTTACCTTGACTATAAAACAGTGAGTGAGTTTTATTCATCACTGAGCCATTATAATTTAATATTATTTTTGTTGTTGTTTTCTATCTTCATCTGAAAGAGACTTTTCCTCTCTTTCCTCTCTTTCTTGATTTGTTTCTTCTCTGTCTCTTCTTACCAATGCGCTGTCGACTTTTCTTTTTTCTTTTTGCTGTTTTTGGATTTTGGTTTTTGGGTCCTTCTGATTGAGCCGAAATGAAGTTCTTTAGTTAATTATAATCAATTTTTTCATAGCTATGTTGACCTTTTGATATTTGAATGTTCTGTGCATGAAGTGGTCCCATTGATTGATTGAATTGAACCAACATAGGGTAAGTACCAGTAACACTTTCTCTCACATCTTAAATTATCTCTCACGTCTAGATGATCTCTCACATGAGCTCTCACATCTAGAGCTCAGACAGTTTTGTTTGTTACACCCTTTATTATTAACCCGAAATGAAGTCATTTTCTTGTGTTATACTCTTCACTCTCAACCTTTGTTAGTTTTCAATCCAGAAATCTGGTTAACTTGAGTTCATTATTTTTGTGTTTTTATTCCTATTCAGTAGTCAACTTTCAATGTAATTGGTAAGGAAATAAATAAATGGATTTGTTTTCAGTTGTGACAACAGCATGCGTAAGTAGATAATGTTCAGTGAAACTAGAAGAATCAACTCAAATTAAATCATTTTATCTTTCTTCAAGGAATTCAAATTCATGAATTTTCTGTGTTCAACAAAGACTAGATTTTATTCAATACTTCTCAAGAGATCTGTCACAGATCATCTGTGACATCAAAAAGATTATTAGTCTTGACTACATTACTGTATTACCTGACAACTTTTGAATGGCGCCTTTGCTTGAGTTACACCTTTCCATGTCTATTCACTCTTTCTTTCTTTCTTTATTTATTTCTCAGGGACATCAAACACACTCACTCAATCTTACGATAGTGGCTGATCTTTTGCCTGGTTACAATCACTGGAATCTTTTGTTTTTATATAATCTTGATTCATCTGCGTTTAAATAACTTGTTCATTTTTTACTATTTCCTTTCTGTTTCGTTGTTTATTATTATTTGCATTACCTCATTGCCAAGAATATCCACAATCTATTACATCTTTCAATGTTATTCCCTGGAAAATTAATTTATTGTGACAAGAAGCTGTTTGAAATGACGGAATACTATGTTTCAATTTCTACCGGTGTTATGAATTCAATTGATATATTGTGACTTTACATAATTTTACCTGGTTCATGTCCACGATATTTCCGACCTGCTTCAATCAACCAGCTGGTATTGATTTATTTTTGTTAGAATTGGATTTTTCGCCATTCTAATTTAAAATTTAAACAACACCTGAAGTGCTCAACTCAACTCATTTTACTTAACCATAGTCGCTATAAAAATTTATGATTTCATGGTCGTCTCCCAGTGATCATCATATCCAGCCATTACCATTATCGCCAATAACCATCAACAGTATTAAAAATATTAAAAGTAAAACATAATTGGTTATGTTTTACATTCTATTTTAAAACATGAGTGAATTAAAGAGTATGTTCAAATTTTCATCCAAAAAGGATCTCACCTGTGAATTTAAATGTACAATTAAGCTTCTTGATGACGAAGAAGTTTTAGAATGTGATTTTACCAAAGAACACAAAGGACAACATTTACTTGATTATTGCTACAAAAGTCTTAACTTATTGGAGAAAGATTATTTTGGTTTAAGATATGTTGATAACAAGCAACAGAGAAATTGGCTCGATCCAACCCGGTGTATCGTTAAGCAGATCAAAGGACTCAGTCCTGTTGTTTTTTGTTTTAGGGTTAAATTTTACCCTGCAGATCCTATTCGATTAAAAGAAGAGGTTACTCGATACTTTGTATTCATGCAACTCCGACGTGATCTACTTCATGGACGACTTCAGTGCTCTTCAAATGAGCTTCCTCTTTTAATGGCGTATATAATACAATGTAAGTATTATTTTCACACATCCGTCAGTTCACATTCACAGAGTGAAAAGTCATTTCATATTTATAGTTTTTCATATTTAGTCTTTCAATGCCTTCCCTCTATTTTCCCTTCTCCAAATCAACAAGCAACTTCTCAATTGTTCTTACTCATTTTCCTATGAAATCTTGAAAATTATTGCCATTTCATTAACTTTTCATTCTCATTTACAGCTGAATTAGGAGATTACGATCCAGAGGAACATGGAGAAAATTATGTTTCCTCGTTTAAATTGGTTCCTAACCAGTCAACCAAATTATCACAAACTACCAGTCTGGAGAAAACTGTTGCAGAGATTCACCAAAAAGATATGAGAGGGTTAACTCCTGGCGATGCTGAGCTCAATTTTATCAAGAAAGCGTCATCACTAGAAACTTATGGAATCGATCCACATCCGGTTAAAGACCATAAAGGGAAACAATTATATCTCGGAATCAATCATATCGGTGTTACAACTTTCCAAGGAAGTAGAAAAGTTCAAAGCTTTAAATGGTGTGTTGACAAATTTGGCGGCGCCTTTTTTTCGTTCATCAAACATAGTTTATTTTATTATCACATAATGTCCATCTATTTTTTAATTTGACTAATTCTTTTTCCATTACCTCATATTTTTCAGGAATGAAATTCAAAAGCTGACTTATGAAGGAAGGATGTTCATTGTTCATGCATCGACAAATGATGTAAGATCTTTTTTGCCAACTCTCCATTTCCAGAAAAATTGCTTTCACCGAATTCCCCAGTTATTAATCGATTGATTTTCCAATGATAATTAAATTACCAGACAACCAATGCTTCAGAATCTATATTAGTAAAGCTCAACGCATAGTTGAACACTAATTAGATTGATATTGCTATTGGCGTAAATATTTTTTCATTTAAACTTTTTGTTTATAATAGCATTTAATATTTACAACTGTCTATTCATTTTTTAACCGAAACTTGAAATGTCAATTTTTGCACAATCAAGTGATTTCTGAAATAGACGATTTTTTCCTCCATGATGACTATTTAGGAAATAGTATTTGAAAGTACAAATAGCTGAAGAAGATATCAAACTTTATTTAGTAACCATTAACCTTGTTACTTAATAATCATTGAGAGGGAAAAAGGTGTATTAAATATTTCCAACTATTTCCTTGAAATTATTTTTGTCTAGATTCCCTTTTCAATGTGCATTCACTTACAATGAAAAAACTCTTTTTTTATCTCTTTTTCAATCCTTTCTCTTTAAAAGACATTAGTTTTGATTAAATTATTTTAAGAGTTTTCACAATCATGAATTACGACCAATTGCTTGTTTCCCTTATCTGTAAATATTCATTTATCATCATCCAGCTTGGTGAAACAAGCAAGAAATCTTGAAACAGAGAATCCAGTATAAAACGAAAAAGGTTGATTTGTTTATCCTGAGAAATCAATAGTAACTAAGGGATCACAAGTCATGGTTAGTTTAATATCTATAATATTAATGTTACAACAGAGTTGATATGAATAATTAAGAACGCGTACAATCAATTTTTCAACAGTTAATATCCCATGAGATAATATTGTTGCCTTATTGATTTGACAGAGTTGCTTGTAATATTTTTGTTGTTATTTCGCTCTCCATTAATGATAATTGGTGTCCTGATTTCATTTGTTTCCCATTGGTTTTTACTAGACTTTCTCCTGATTTCATTTGTTTCCCATTGGTTTTTACTAGACTTTCTGGTTGATTATAATTAGTATAAAATTTGATAGAAGCTGTTTTAATTTAATTTTTCTACTTTTTTGCAGAAAAAGAAACATCTGGTTGGCTTTAAATGTCCAAATACATCAGCCTGTCATTTCCTTTGGAGATGTGCTGTTGAACAGCGTTATTTTTTCACGTAAGTCGCTAAATTGTTGGCATTTGACTAGTGGTTATCTTATTAACATCAATTAGGACAACCTTTAAAATTACTCAACATTGGTCGTTGAACGGATAGAGCTTAAAATGGATGTAAATTTAGTTGTCATCAAGAGCATCAAATTGATGGCAAACTGTCACTTAATGTTTTTGTTTTTGTCATTACAAATCTCATCCTATTCCGATTTTGTCAAGCATTAACTAATTTTTAGGGAAAAAAGATTTACAATTAAGTTGTTGGATGTTTCTTGAAGTAATCAGCTCATGTTACCAGTGGCATGAGTTACTGAAAAAAATAAACATTATTAATGATTGGAGCAACTACAAGTGTCAGCCGAACAATGACATTCTCGAATGAACAGTTCAAGGAAAATTTCTCCTCTTTAACTGAATTTACTCATTCAAAAATTACTGAGTTGAAATGGGTTCATAAAAATGTTGACTGAAAAAATTTTGAAAAAAAACATGGAGAGCAAGTGTGTTATAGTGTTATAAAATTTAGAAGGCTTCAAATGAAAATGTTCAGTATTTATTGCTATTTGATGTTAACGAAGGCAACTAGTCAATATTGCAAACAAAATTATAAATCAAAGAATATTGAATTAATATTTAATCTTTACCCACTTTAGGATGAACTCTTCAAGTGATATACCTCTAGTTACAACTGGAGGTGGTTTGTTTAAAACTTGTAAATTGAGATATACGTAAGTAACATTACTAAACAATCATTTATTTGCTTCATTCATTTTGTTTAATCTCTGATCTATTTTTAACATGCTAATCAATAAAGTGGCCGGGTTGAAAAGGAAATTATCAATGATATGAAAGATATTGACCGCAAGGAAGCAACAATTCAACGAAGTTATTCAACCACATCAGCACCTCCTCATATCAGAACCATTGGAAGATCAAGTACCGCTCCCATTACCACTTCTGAACACGACAGGGAACAAGAATCTCCTGACCGAGGCTCAAATTTTATCACTAAAGGTTTGAATTATTTTCTAAGGCCTTTCAAACAGCCAGTCTTTTATGTTGATTAACTTTCCAAGGTTTTTCATATTTTCTGTGTCATTTTAATGATTCCAAAGTATTTGTATTTCATTCATTTGAATTTCCCTTTCAAATTTATTCTCTATTTTTCACCCTTTTTATTGCTTACCAATCAATTTCCAAATGAATAACTTTTCTTTTGCCTTTTCTCTTTCTTTCCAAGATCCTTACTGGAACTATTCAACATTTTCAGAGCCTGAAGAAAACCATGTCACCTCATCACCGCACACATTGGATCCTTTTGATGAAGAAGACTGGGACACCTCAATGACATCTACTCTTCCTACTGAGTTTGATTTAAGGCCAGATATTACACCTACGGATGAAGAAAGTCGCTCCATGGCTTTTGAAATTCCTGCTGTTCGTTCATCGCCATCAGCCAGTCTATTCAACAAAGATATGGAAGATGATACTTTGGGGGAAGAAGAAGACGGTGATTTAGATGAGAATGGTGATTACGGAGATGATGTCAATGGAAAACGAAAGAGAACGATAGTTTCGCCATTGATAAAACTGTCTTCATCTTCAGATGAGGATAAGAAAACAGAGGAGAATCCTTTCGATCCATTAGGCTGTAGACCTTATTCCAATCTTTTACCAATTCGTACTTTTATGCTGACAACATTGCTGTTGTTGTTACTTTTCTCGTGCCTTGTCATTTTAATCATTGAATCTGAGTCAGATGTATTTGGACCAATAAGAAAAGTACCAGAAATGGTGATACTTCGAAGAGATTATTATGAACCAATGAAGAAAAATTTTTTCCGCAAATTTATAAGCTGACATAAGGAGGAAAAAAGGATGTCAATCAATGAGGATAATAGCTATGGACGATACATCAACTTGATCCATGAACATTGACTGATATAAATATCCAGCATAAATCTTTATGCTTATATAAATTTGTATATTTTTGAAAACTTAATCTTTGATACCGGTGATATTATCATGTTGGATAAACCTAACAAACAAGCAAAGGAAAGAGGAAAGTTAAACAATCAAACAAGGTAGATTTCATTATGGAAGGAGAGTTGCTAAGACTCAATTGTAAGACTGACAGTCTTCATTCCTTGACATAAAAAGCAGAAGATAAAGACAGAAAAGACAAAGCAAGCTTTACCAAGGACACTGTAATTGACTTTAAATTTACCCTTGTCTTTGGTATTTACTGATTCTAATTAATGATCATGAAGATGAACTATTCCACCCGATTTCTGTGAGGAAAAAGTTGGATCCTGCCTTTCTTATTAGATGTGGAAAAGTGGTTTACAATTGAGCTAACCTCAATATCATCATCACTATTCTGGTTAACAGAGTTTACTTCCATTCCATTACAATCCAATCCAATCAGTTGCGTCTCAAATGATCCAGATTATTTTAAATTGTCGCTAATCAATTTGAAAAACACACTTAATTTAATTTGATTGCATATTAGCAACATACTCGTGATGCTACACATTTACATTCAAATTTACCGAGAGGATCACACAACTTGCACGTACACATATTTGACTTGATTATTTTGATTGCGAGCATTTAATTCAGTTTAACGTCTCTTCTTGCATAAATCCTGTTCTAATCACTTTCATTTAAATGTTATGCCCATCGATATTATCTGCTAACTCTAATTTTCGTCCATTCCAAAAAGTCTTGACCAAAACATTTGTGAAACTTGCATTGCTGTAAAATCACATTCATTTAAGTAACGATACTTAATATCTATATTGTAATCATCTTTACATGTGTATATAAGACTAAATCTGCCACAAAATAATTGGTTAATTGTTGAAAACAAGGCAACTCAAACGAACAGATAATTCCTATGCTTTATGTTGAAATTAATCATGACAGTAACTATGTATCATCACCTCTTATAAAATGTACAAATGATAAATGAAAAACAAATCAGAATAAGAAATATTAATGTAATGACAATAATAACCATGATAATAATGTCTATTGGGCTCATTTTGTATGCTGTTTACACATGAAATGTTTCACACACAAGCAATAAAAAATTCACTTGTATGAATCTAAATCTTTTTTTCATCCGATTTGCTTTTACGAATAACTATTGATATTTAAATATCCAACCTGAGCATATGTGTTGAAATATAAATTATTTTTATGACTTCTGAATAGCAAATTATCGTAGCATGAAAGGAACTAGAATTTCAGTTTATTTTGGTAAAGTTCTGAGTGACTCTAAATTTATCGATCCATTCCTTTCACTTTCTGACGCAGTCATTTTGAGTCTCTTAATTTAGATCTTGTAGAGATTGATAAAACAATATGGCAACCCTTGATTGAAATTAAGGTAAGTTAACGACCAATTGATCATAAAATTGTCTTCTAAATCTATCTAATCAACCAAGAGTAATTTTAATCGTTCAAGTTTTCTTCAGCTTTTAATATTTACTTAATTTTACGCACATTGCACATTCTGTGTGTCTAGATTATTGATTAGTTCAATATTGCCTTTTTATTATATTGTGTAACCTGTGTTGAACCATTCATCTCTAGTCGTTAAATTAGACCGATTCCAATCAATCAAAGTGTCGTCGATTATGAGTGTATATTTAATATTTACCTTTTCATCAGTTTTTTCAGGTTCTATCATTTTACCGGATTGATTTATCTTTTTGACAATCTGCGAAATTAAGTAGCCAGCTGAGTGGCAATTGTGAATTTTGAGAAAATGCTGTTTCGATTTTTAATTGTTCCCCTGGCTATTCTTCCATTGGCCTATGGTTATGGGAAATTGATTCAAATTGGTGATGGTCTACTTCAAGAGCTTTACAATAGATATGGATCCAATGTTAAAGATGACCTCTATGAGACTGATTTTGATGTAAGTTTCAACACACCTAATCATTTTTAACCCTTGCTCATCTTAACCAAAGAGCTCCTCTTTGATCTTAACCCTTAAATTTGTCAGTCAATGGAATTGTTTATTCATTTTGTGTTGCTTTTTGTGTCTCTAATGTACAGAAACAAGGATCATTAAACATTAACAATGATGAAGGAACCTTAAGTAAGATACCAAGAGCAAAATTTCAAACTCGAATGGATGATATACTCTTAGGAAGGGAACCATCTTTGAGAGATGCCGAGTATCTTGAACATTCATCGTTGTTTGGCCACAAATATGTCCAAGGAGGAGCCGGTGAAGGACGTCAATTGTTGAAACCAGATGGATCCGTCGAGAACTACCAAGTTATCAAATCAGATACCATATTACCTGCCTATTGTGATCCACCAAACCCTTGTCCAATCGGTTATACAAGTATGTTTACAAACACTTACAATATAATACCGATAGTCCAAACACAGTAAACCCAAGTTAATTATTTTATTTCAATATCTTGTGATTTTAGCTGATGATGGATGCCTAGAAAGCTTTGAAAACTCAGCATCATTTAGCCGTGATTATCAATCGTCTCAAAAATGTATGTGTGATCGAGAACACATGTTTGATTGCTCTGGTAACACTGAGGAAAACCAATTGGATGCCCTTGCTCGATCAATTCAAAATGAAGTAATCTCTGATTCTGATCTTGATGACTTGGTTGACCGAATGCAAGAAGGACACAAAGTGGTAGCTAAAAAATTTCATGCCTCAAAAAAGGTAATTTCATTTCTTATAAACATTTTTCTGTAGTAAATTCTGTATTTTATTCATGAGTAAATTGAATTTTTTATTTCTTACTCTCTTTATTTAGCGAAATCCTGATTATTTGTTGGGAGAGAAGCTTCCAATTGTTGCTAAAAAAGCTCCTCATCTCGCTAAAAATTGATTGACCATTGACCATCAACCTTCAACTGTTTACATTCATCTTGTTGACTTCTGGTTTCATTCCATCATCATATCATATTTCAGCCATCATTACCATTCCTGTGAATGTCCTGTTATATTTTGTGTCATTAAAACGCTGGTTAATTAACTACCGATTATGACCATTATTTTATTCCTTTAAATTTATGTTAAAACAAAAAAATAATTTATCTCCATGTTATTACTGGACAAATCTTTAACTACAGATACATGTAATACAGCAAATTGAAGGCTTCTCATTTCCGAATCAACCGAGAAGCGAATGGAACAAAGAAATACACTTCAGATAATCAAAAGCCGGCTTAAAAATAAATTGTGATTGTCAACGGAAAATTACATTAATGTCTTATAATCCGTAAATTTGATGTTTTAAACTAACAAAATTGATCTCATTACCTTTAATTTATTACATTAAACATGTCAATGGAAAGGATCTGTTGTTAAACAAAGGTTAAAACTATAATTTTCATTTTGATTATCTCTAATCATCTCATTCAACATTAACAATGTATTGTTACAATTGACAATAAACAATGAGAAAGTCATTATTGATCTTACAATGAAAATGACCAAAAGAGGATTTGTAAACATATAATGAAATGCTTTGAAAAGGTATTCATAGATGGCCTCCTAAGCCAGTAATAATGTCAACAAACACAAGAAATGTGTGCTATCGGAAAATGACCATTAAATGTCCTCTGGAGGTCGTATAAACCAATAACCATGAATGAAGAGACTCGGAAATGATGGCGCTTCATATCTCAAAACATGTAGTTCTAATAAGAGCAACCTAGCATGATTGTTCGGGCTTTTGATACAATTTCAATCCAAACAGTAACATCATTGAAGCAGGTTGAGTTACTGAGGGTAAATTGTGATCAAAGGAAACCTCATCTATTACAGACAATTATCTGATTGAATGTGAATGAAAAATAAAGTAGAACTAATTGTGTGGTTAATTAGTAAACCATATTCACGGCTGGATTGCACGGCAAGAAGATTGTTAAATCAAGATAACGATTATTTTATTCATGAGTTTGTAACTTGCTCTTTGTGTTCAACGGTTAACTGCAACTTCGTGTATAACCTTGTTTATCATCACTTGATTGGTGTTTTTATTTTGCTGATCAGCAATCACGCACAAATACCAACAATTACAAATATTAAGTCTACTAAATTTACTGATGAAAGGTAGAGACAAAGATTTATAGTAAATTAAAGTCTCATTAAAATTTAAGGCCTTAAACCATATCAACAGACAACTAGACAATACATTTCAAATGTCCCATTGATTCAAACTCATCTAGTTTTAAAGTCAATTTGATCAAATGATTGCTTTTTCATTATAATTTGTGCAGTTAAACTCAACTGCTGACAATTAATTTAAAGATCAAAAGTTGAAATGTCAATCAAGATTTACAATATTGAAATGAATAGCAATTTGACTAAGCTAAAGGTTTATTGCTAATCAATCAAACGGCACCAGAATGTGTTTTAAATGATTAACCTATCACTGAACATTAACTTATTCATGAAATTAAAGTAATGAAAGGTTTGGTTATAAATAATGAATGACATTGAATGTTAGCAGACAAATGAATCCACCTTTAATTGTCACTCTCGGCTATCATCACTTTTAATTGCCATCACTAATTTAGTCAACAATTTGTTGGTATTTGATCATTTAAATGAAAAAATAGTTTCACTTATTAAAACATTTTCCTATTGAAATGTGTTCATCATTTTCAAGTTCATCATTGACTGTTAATATTTTAATATGATTGAGCATTAATTGAGATTTAATGATGTTTAAAGTAATCAATAAATCATGTTTATTGTTTAAATTTAGATTTAAATTTTCTTGTTTCTAGTTTGGTTGAAAAATTTGCCATTTTTGCCTTGTTTTAACCATTAGAATGCACTTCTACAGGTTGGCCTTAAAACGTTTCAATGCAACATTATTAGATTTAATTTGTTGATTAAATGTTTTAAATGCGATATTCGAGAGATTTAAGGTTAATTAACCATCAATTACGTTAAAGTATAAAAATCACACCTTAATTTACTTGTTTAATGTGACAGTTAAATGGCTTCAATACAATGATCAACTTAATGTTCACAGTGATTGAGAGCTGTGTGTGTGTAAAACAGCGATTTAATTGTGTTGCTGATTTAGTAGATGACAAATCAATTAAAGTACGATGATTGGGATCAGTGTAAGGATGGGATAAATGGCAGGAGTGGACTTTAAGGTAAGATTCAAATTATCAACATAATCATCTTTACTTTTACCTAGTAAAGTTCACACTTTTTCAAATTGCGATAAATTGAGTTGATATAAGCGATTGATGTTGCCAGATATTGAGGTTAAATTGTGGTTAAATATTACAGATAAATTGTTCAATTGAAAGTCTAGTTGAAATAGAGACAATAATGTTGAATAAAAGGTAAATAAGTAAATCCAGATGATTGAGATCTAGGCGTTGTCAGGATTGGTTCCTACTTTTGTAAGGCAAAATTTTGACCAACACCTCAATCAAGAGGCTCAGGCTATGATTTTCGGTCAAAAGCAAATACAAATTATACCTTTTAATACACTTTTCATACACAATATACACCAAGATTAGAGTGTTTAAGCAATAATGGCTCAATCGACTGCTCTTGACAAAAAGCGATCCCAATGTAATGGATCCTAATTGATAGTCTTTAAAATCTTGTAAACATGGCAAGTGAATAGCATCGAGTGACAACAAAATGTGTAAATCATAACTTAATTTAAAGTTGAGGCGAGTCCTGAATTGACCCTGTGTTCAGCATAATCTTTTAGTCATAACTTATTTTCACCAATATTGTCATGAAAAATTTACACCAAAAATCGAGTCCAAAATTGTATCCAATGTTGATTGCAACTTGTTTGCTGTGTTGGTTGTAACATTTGCCTTCAACATCACGTTTGTCTTCAGTTGTATTGATTCACTTTTTGATTCAACAGTTGTGTTTTATCTGTAATTTGATCAGCAAGTTTTGAATCCATCAAATTTTGATCACGAATAGTTAATTAGATTTTCTTGATATCCATTTAGATTGATGAAACGACCCAATGTTTACCATTCAATACAGGGATCAATTGGATGGCAACAATTTTATAGATATTGATCGAAACCATATTAAGAATCATCTTGAAACCTCTTTGACTTTCAATTACATTATCAGGGTTAATTTAAATACTCCAAAATATCATATTTTAATTACTTTGGCCACCCAAAAGGCATCACCATTGAATCCAAGTTGAGATTTATTTACCCAGTCAAGTAACGCTGTTAGGCCTAAGACTCTTGAAAAAGCAATCTGTAAATAAAGTAACAAAACATGAGGTAAAATGATATTAGAGTAAAGCATATTATAACTTAAATTTTACTCAATGGCGATGTTTACTCAATCGGAATATTGATTGTTGAATTCACATGAAACTATCTTGAAAAATTAAACATAAAAATCAACTGAAATCAATTGAAATCAACTAAACCTGTTGCCTTTTCAAATCAAAAATTGAAACCATTGTTTTGTTTGTTTCTGATACTTATGAGTCTAAGGAAGCCTAAGTGCTTATAGGCATTGTTTACCTTTTATTTCAACTTTGCTATCAAAACATAATTATTAATTGTTTGGATGTCATTTAGAGTTAACTTTAAGTTAATTACGTTCAACTAATCAACCAATTTTTGGTTTACCAGGCAACAGGTTAGGTTTAAGGTGGTAAAAAGGTGAAAATAAAAAATACTTGCCTGTAGAGTCAAGATGAATGTCTTCCAACCTTTACATTGATACTTTGCTTTTAATCAATCGTTTTTCATTATTATTTCCTTTAATCATTACCAGGGAGTCAAACAATTAACTGAGTAAACTGTAAATAATGATGTGATGAATAGACACCGAAATGGTATTTTGGGTTAAAATAAATTGGTTAAGATGAAAAGCAATTATCGTATGACTTGTTGCTTCTGTATCTTTTGGGTTACTTGTTAAAACAACTCATAACAACTGTAAAATGAAAAGTGTTAATAAACTCTGATAAATGATTAGTTAATAATAAATGGTTTGTTAATGAATTTTGGGTTATGAATGTTGGTTAATAATATAAATGATTATATCAATTATAAATATAAACCTTTGATTGATTGTAGACACAAGTATTTAACAATTAATGAAAGCAATTGAGTTGTTGCACTGTTGTGTTAAAAAGGCAAAATGAAATACCAGGCTTAAACTAATCAAATTAACTGATGTTATCTCGATTGTTACATTATGATATTCATTGCAATTTAGGAGGGAATTGAGTTAATTAAGTTGTGCACAAATCATCATCTCATAATTATAATCATAATAGCCATAATAATATACATAAGAGTCTCATAAACGGTTATAATTACCATTAGATATTCATGAAATCAGAAAGGTTTGAAAAAAGATGAATATGTTCAGTAAAATTAATATTAACGTTGAAAAATGTAGATTCATTGGATTGTTTGAATACAATTTTACAGTGAAATTGCAAGTTGATAATTATATTAAAAATGATTAACCATATTTATGTTATCAATGTGTGTGATAATCAAACACACCTACAACGGCAGGGAAGCAAGTGAAGGAGATTTAAAGAGAGACGGATTTAATTTGAGTAAATTGCTGAACAATTTACTGATTTTCATTGTTTCTTGCTAATTGTTGTTATTCAACTCTGCTTGATTCTTGATCCCAACAGATGGAGCGCAACATTATTTGCTTATCAATTATCACGCAACTCCAATTGACTTACCAATCAAGTTACTTTGCCGGTTTTTTGTATTCATCTTTCATGAACATCGTTTGAATCTTTCAACTTTTTCACTTGTTTTTGTAACTTGATTCAGTTAACATGAAATCTTTTACTGGATTAGTTTCTAAGAAATTAACTTTACCATCTTCTCTTGCTTCTTCTACTTTGCCTTCAGTATCGCCTACAAATAAAGCAACTGTAAATATGTCTGACCAGTCGATGGAAGTTGAAAATACTAGTGACAATGTCAACATCGGAACTACCAAACAAAATGGATCTGAAGAATTGGTTAATTTGAAAATTCCTGCTCTGGATAAATACAATTTACGAGTTAAATCAATTCAAAAACGGATCGAGGTGGAAAAAAAGAGGAAAAATCCTCGCAAAGAGCCTAAACCAAAACAACGACCACCACCGTTGAGTAAATATAGACGTAAGAATGCAAATGCTCGTGAAAGATCAAGAATGCAGGTAAGTCAATTGATTTTTTTAATTGTTCATCTAAAACAAACTGTTTGGACTCTTCTAAATTTAATTATTTGTCTGCTTTTTCGTCTTGTTTATAGGAAATGAACCAAGCATTCAAAGCTTTGAAGAAGGCTGTTCCTTATTTGAAAAGTGATTTTGCACCGGGTGAAGATCAAAATTCAAAGTTAACCAAGATAACAACACTTCGTCTGGCTGTTGAGTATATCGCTGCTTTATCTATGATGCTGTCCGAACCCGATCAACAATTTGATAATCCCAATGAGATCAATGTTGATGAAAATAATATTATTTATCCAACCATATCAAATGAACAAGCAATTTGTTCAAATATATCTTCACCTTCTCCATCTGTATCGTCTGTTACATCATCTTCATCTTGTTCCTCATCTTATTCATCATTGTCTTCCTCACCCTCATCATCATCATTGTCAATATCTTCTCCTTCTTCATCATCAATACAGTCTCCATCATCTTGTTCCTCATTATCATTGGATATACAATCAGTTAGTTTGAACACTCAACTAAGGGACAATTTACTTGTTTCAAGTCAAATTGTTTCCCAAATAAATTGCAATAATGTTAACAATAACTCGATTAAGGGTCCATCAAATCAAGCTGAAAGTCAATTTGCAATCTCATCATGTTCGTTAACACCATCAGCACCATCAACTGTCAACAACCATCATTCATCACCATCAATGCCACCAGGAGCTCCAACAGATTCAACCCGTCAACAGTTACTGAACTCATCATCACCAAATTTACAAATTAACCTTCATCAACAACCAGCCCAAGATAATCTAATTATTTCCATGGAGCATGAGATTGCTGATTTGCCAGTTTCCAATTCATTACCACTCTTGGATGCTGACTGCTGTTACTCTTGTCTTCCAGATAATGTTGATCCTCTCAATAGTGACTTTGATTTCAAATTAATCGACAGCGTTATTATGCCCGAGTCTGATTTTGATAATTTTAAATTTGACAACGAAATACTCTCCAATCCATTAATTACTTCATGGTGATTATCAACATTACTTTAAAATTTTGTGTGCAATAGTTTTCCTGTGTTCAAAGTGTCCTTACCAACAAGTTAAATAATTAAGGGTTAACTTCAATTCATACTCTAATAGTGATTTCCAAGTGAACCCATAATGCTCATAATGATCAAAATTTGGTCAACACTTTGTTATTTGATAAAACAATTTAACAATGATTGAGTCAGTATAGTTGATCAATGAGAATTTTTTCTCAACTTTTAGTTCCTTTGATTAAAAAAAATTCATCAATTCAAACCATATCAACTTGATCTATTCAAATTCATTGATCAAATTCAGCTAATTTGCTGATCTCATTCAATCATAATTCAACAAATGGAAATTTACAATCCATTTTTGAACAATTTAAAGTACTTAAGCCTTAAAATATCAATACATCGACCTAATCATCATCATCATCATCATCATCATCATCATCATCATCATCATCATCATCATCATCATCATCATCATCATCATAATCAACAAATTCAAATGTCAACAATTATTGTGTTCAATCCATCCATATCAAAGTGCTTAAAGATTGAATCTCAGTTGCAATTCAATTCATCAAATCAATTACCTTTTTTACAATGGTTACAATCAAATTTGATTGTATCTTATTTTCAATTATTGTTATAATGAAAAATAAAGACTTTTCATTTAATTTACAAAAAAATATTGTCATTAATCCTTCATTAACTAACACTAAAATGAAAAAGCAAATGTTAATCAACAAATTATAACCAGTAAATACATGTAGGTTGCAGCCAACATGATTAAATTGTAAACAATTCCTACGCCATTTTAGTAACCAATCAGTTTAATCAACAAATTAACCTTGAAATAAAAGGTAACTCGAAACAAAAACAACAAAAAAGTGAAAGGTAACAATTTAGCAAGCAAAATGATCGACAATTTGCTGATCAAGTTTCCCTATACTATAGTAGTTTTTATAGATTTCAATTTTGTTTCCTTTAATCATTCAACCAGTTTCAATTGAAATGGGAAAAAAAGCTTTTCTATTTGAATCAATGAAATAAAAAACCATGAAAATTGAATTTGCACACTTATTTAGTCCATGCCAATCAATTTGATTAAAGTGAACACTTAAATTGCGATAATCTTTTGTTCAATTTACAAATCAAATATCTTTATAAACGGACAATTGATCATTAAATCAACTTTAACCAACCTCAACATAAGTGTGTAAGGAATCGACATTTTCATTCAATCAATTTTTCTTCATATTTCTTCTCATTCATCAAATTGTTCAACACTTTCAGAGCTCAATTCAAGTCAATTCAATTCAGCAACTTAATATTGACTGAAAGAATGAACAGAACGATAAAAAAGTCCAAAATCTTTTCTTGGTTTACATCCAATATCTCTGTTTTACATTTCATATTAGATAAATATTTCAACTGAAGCTTCATCAAAGTATCTGATTGGAGTGTTTTTTGCTGAGAAAAGATGAATTTGATTTTGTCTGGCGATTCTTGCTAGAAGCTGGTTCAAGTTGACCATCATTGGCTTTATTTTGTAAATTGGTTTGACCTGAAACAACAAACAACTTTGATACTTTAAATTGCTTTAATTGTAATAAAAGTGAACAACTATTGAAGATAATTTTGTTTCTATTGTTTTCCTCTGTAAACAATATCAAGTATCATTTCAAGTTGGAACTTTGAAAAGGTAAATTGAAATGTTTCATGAATGTGGTTATTTTTGTGAAATTAAATGATTTGATTGTTTCAATTGGCTATAATGGTTATGATGATTGATTGAATGAATGATATTAACAAAACCAAATTGTTGATATTAAAACCAGTGAAACCATTTTGTTTACCTTCCTTTTGTCAATGGCCATTTAATGGTTGATACTTGTTGATTGCATCCAATTTTACCTTCAATTGATTGAATATCTTGATTAATCATTTCAAATGTTTCTTCAATTGAATAAAATATGAATTCATCTAGATTAAATTAGACCTCCTAAGATGGTCAAAAGCCAGGTGAAGTGAAGAAATGAAAATGATATGAAACATGAAAAGCCTTAAGCCTTAACGTGATTTAACGGGAAAAGGATAACAATTTAACAATTGATTTACCTGCATATTAAACCATTGATAATCTTGTGTTCATTTAGATTTTGTTTAATTTCAAGACTAAATTATGTACCAATTAAGCCATCGATTGTCTTGAGCTTTTCAGGTTTGACAGTTGAGGTGTGATTCAGTTGATTTTAGGGTTAATTTGATTTTCATTAAAAACGTTGAAGGTTAATCAAAGATGAGTTGAAGTATTGGATGAAATGGCAATTTATTTTCAATTTGAAATCTTTTTTTTTTCAGTGAAACATTTTCAAAGCTAATTAATCGTCATCTTGATCAATCTAATTATTCAATGTCTATTTGTCAGATCACTTTGATCATTAACAAAATCATCATTGAAGATGTAAAATGTAAAAACAAATGTTTCAGTGGAAATGAGATGATTTTCAATCGATTTCAAGCTAATTTTCAGGTTGATTAATAAAGCAATGATTAAAATGATTGGAAGACTTGAAAGATTGATTAAACAACAATCAAAGAGAGAAACAAATCAATTGAATCTCAACACTCCTTGCCAATGAAAAGGAGCGTCTGCAGCGAGTAAATGAAGACGATCAAGACAATGTTGAGCTTGTGAATGACGAAGAGGATAAAGTCATTTTCATTAGTTGAGGCCAATTTGCGTCAAGACCATCATAGTAGCTGAAAGGTTTGGTTGAACAATTTATTCTTGTAATTTCATTATTTCAACCTTCCACAATTGTAATCAACTTAATATCATAACGTTCAAATTGAGGGAGTTTTAAGGATCAAAATGAAGGAGTGTTTCAACTTTCCGTTTCCTAATCTCAATGTAATTCCTGAAAACGCATTTCAACGATTCCTTGAAATTTTGCCATTGAATCTACAAACTCAACATTGTCCATCGAATCATCGACCAATTTGAAGCCACTTTTTCCACCAAATTCATGCTCAATATGAACTCGAGTTGACCTGAAAGTGGTGAACAATTTTGTTATTGAAAAGTGGAGTTTCTGATTAGCTTCAACTTGCCATTGAACTACACTTGATCAATGTTTTGTCATTTCTGTTTTAACCGAAAAGGTGTTAAATCTAACGAATGATTAACAAACTATTATTAACAAACTACTATTAGTTAAGTAGTACATCATTGGTAGTTGAATATTGAATAACCGTTGATAATTTCAACTCAATATTGACTCTTCACAATTTACTATTAGAAAGGTAATCATTAGTTTCCGTTGTATTCCTTACACAGTCTTTTAGATTCTCAATCAATATTTGGTTTGAAGTGACAAAATGCACCATTTGCCTGTAAAACTGGAAAGTGGCTGAAAAATGGTGAAAAACAAATAAAAAAACAGTGAATATTTACTGATGAGGTGAGCGGAAAGATTGAAGAAAAGGCCAACACTGGTTTGCTATTGAAATTATCATTGAAATGATGTTGGATGAGTGCATGTTAATCATAATAGATTATTCAAATTATGATTGATAAAAAAGATGATTAAGGTTGAGGAGTGAAACAAAAGTGTAGCAAAATCAGGTAAACATTGGCTTTGATGCACAGCAAGACGTTCAGTATCTGACTAAAAATGGACACCAATAACAATGAAAACGATGAAAATGATTGAACCTACACTTTTTGTTTAAAGGTTAATATCTAATAGATTCACCGATTCCCTGTGTGATAGATTAAAGCGATTACAATAAGTGATGATGATTGTCAATTAACTGTCAACATTAATTTCACCAAATCATCAGCATCACCGTCTACGCAAACACACACATAAAGCGTTTTCATGTTTTTCCTTGCTTCAATTTGTTCACCCATTGTTAATGTAATCACAATTGTCAACCAGTTTTTTTTGTGGTAAAATTTTAGGTTAAAATTAACAGCAATGGAATAAATGTTCAAATTTAAATTGCAATTTACAATTAGTCTGAATCTGTCTAACCTACGCATTTGATAGTTAAAATTTAATGTTGAATCTAAATAACAAATATGAAAATAAAATCAACTTCATGACCTTTACCTTCACCACAAGTTAAATGTGTCACAAATCAGAGTTTTAAGGAGTGTTTCAGGGGAAATTAACATCTCAACTTTACATTGGTTGACGATCAAATTTAATTGTTCAACCCTAATCTTTAATTTAGTTTCGATTGTTAAGAGATCTGGAAATTGTCTCAAGATTTTGGTCTAAAACGATTCCAATGTCTAGTTACAATTGAAATGCTTAGGCCTTCACTTGAGCCAATCAAGTTTATTCTTGGCCTTTAGTTAATGTAATGATTAGTCTATTAATTATTGAATTGTAAATGATGAACAATGGCTAGAGCAATCTAATTTTGAGTTAATTAAAGTAATCATTTGATAGCTAACATGTTTGCCTTATTATTTATAGCGAAACAAACCTAAAATAACGCAAAAATGGTTGAATTTATGATTATTTCGTGAGTAAATAAATCTTTTCTCAATTAACTGAGTGATTTATAAATGAACAATAAACACCAAGTTGAATACAGACAATCTATGAGTTTGTGTTAAATGTTAATTGAAAAAACAAAGGTAAATCTACAAATCATAATCAAACATTAAATAACCAATTGTTGAACATGGGAAAGCTTAAAATTAAGGTTGCTGTTAAACACAACTTCAGTTGTTTGGCTTTACAATTAGCATTATTATTGTAATGACCATTATTAGATCTCATCAAGTATTGATTAAATGGTTTGTTAATGATGTTATAATATAATATTAATTGGTTCGTTAATGAATTGATTATGAGAAAAGCACAATTAATGAAGATGAAATACATTGTTTGGTTACATTGAAAGATGGTTCAATATTGGTTTGAAGGATCATTGTTTCCCAGTTGTTCATGATTATCATTTAGCTGCACCTTAAGATTGTTTATTTATTTAACATGCAATTGTTGTGGACTACACCTTTTAATAGTAATTTATGACTCACTGATTCAAAGTTATGAATGAATCAACAGAAAGTTTACTGGTAACGAGTTGCTTTGGTCAGTCAATTGACTTTCTTGGGTTAACCTACCTTTTTGTCAGATGAGTAAACAAGTTTAACATTTGAAATCAGATGAGATTTCAGGATAAAGACATGATGCTTGTAAATGTTTGTAAGCACACCTCAACCGGGTTCAGTTTTCACCAACA